TCCTGTATTTAATACTTCACATTTGTTGTGGAGGCAGTTTTTTCAGCTTCTAGTAAGTCACCCAGCATTGAAATAGTCACCTAACTTTGAAGCATAGGTCAACGCTGTTCTCACGTATAAAAAATATGCTTTCTATGATTATAATCTCACTCTCATCCTACTTAAACAATTTTTTTTATTAAGGTAAAATATACCTAACACAAATTTACCATCTTACCCTTTTAAAGTATACAGTTCAGTGGTGTCAAATACATTCATAATGCTGTGCAGCCATCACCGCCACCCCTGGGAGAGCTATTCTTATCAACACTTGCTAGGAAGTGCTTCAGGGAAAGTGAAGAAGACTTTAACATTTATTAAGCACCTAATGCATGTCATACACTATGCTTGGTGCTCTTAATAAACAGTATCTCATTTAATCTTACAGTTACCCACTAAGGTAAGTGTTAATATTCCCTTTTCACAAGTGAAGAAAAATAAGGCTTAGAGAGCTGGATTAATCTGCCCAAATTGGCTCCAGGGACTGAGTGCTGGAGCTGGGGTTAGAACCTGCTTCTTTGTGCTGTTTTAGCCCTGTTTTATCAGGGCTAAGGGAAAGCAGGCCAGGCAGCCTGCCTGTTCTTAGTGATATCAGGCTGAAGAAGCCACACTTTGTCTGTGTCCAGGCTCCTCACCTTAATAGCCTAACAAAGTTTGTTTGTTTTTTTTCAAAGTCTAAACTTTCTTTGCTGAACTGAAGGGCAAGATTTATCCTCCTTGGAGACAAGGTGCTGGAGATACGGACATGTGTTGGGTCCAAGGAGTCTGGGGACACAGTAGGTGGGGACAGCTTTGATTCCACCCCATGTCCTCTTTCTATCCCCCATCCTGGATTCTTGTTTTCACAGAGGCTTTGAGTAATTGCTCAGATGACCTGCTGAGGTCAGAGATCGTCTCCCCAGACCCCTGCTACACTTGCCAGTGCCAGGTGAGCCCTCCTGTCTTGGGAACTCTCAAAACCCTCCTCTTCCTCCTCTGTGGGTCATGGCTGCTGCTGCTCTTCTGTAGCAGCTCCAGGACTCTCCATTCACCCCAGCATTTGCCCACTTGTCCTATCACATCCTGCCCACACCCTGCTTACAAGCATGCCCTGATCCCTCCACCACCTTCTTGAGAGCTGCTGGTCTCTACCTATTGTGTTCACACGAGGGCAGGATCTAACATGGCTCTGCACTCACCGGGCCTGTCCTGAGCTCAGCTGTCCCCTGCTGGAGCACCACACTCCCCCGGGGAGTTGCTGCCCCATATGCCAGGGTAAGTACCCATCTGTGGCCTAGATCCTCAGAGAGGAGCCCAGGAGGGAGATCGGAGGGGGAGGCACTTGTGGGCCATGTGGGTAGCCAGAGTCGGCACTCAGAATGCAGGTTTCATTCTGTGGTAGAAAGGAGGGGCTGTATGTTGGAATGGAGAAGAGACCCACAAGGCAGCGGAAGGCAAGGGTGATAGCTGGATTCTCAAAGTCTGGCCAGAGGCTTGTCAGGGGGCAACCAGACCCCAGGCACACTAGTGGGGCATGGGGTGGGGGGTGGTCCCAGCTTCTGGCTGTCTAGGTTTCTAGGACTCTGCAGACATCCTGAGCACTGGCACAAGGCCTAACATCTAGTAGGTCCTCTGGCTGCTGGTGGAGGAAATCAGCACCATCAGGGTGCTAGTGGAATGGAATGGGTGCTTCCCTACTGTGAAGCTCAGGGTAGGTTCCAGGGAGGGAGGTTGCAGCTAGAACAATGTTGGCCTATCCCATTTCTCCCTCCTCAGAATGCTTGGTGGAGGCTGACGGCCGGAGAGTGGCTGATGGAGAGAGCTGGCAGGACCCCAGCAACCCCTGCATTGCTTGCACCTGCCGTGTGAGCTGCGGATGGGGGTGGAAGGGTGGAGGACCTTATAGACTGGTAAAGGGAGGATTGGCCAACACTCTTCAGCAAATATGGGGTCTTTGAGGGGCAGAGGCATCCCATTGCTGGCCAAGGAGCTTAACGCTGCATTTCACTCCCCACTTGAACCATAAAGTGGGTGTTCTTGTGGGGCCAGGTGGACAGAGGGCTGTTGCTTCAGATCATTCCCAGAAGGCCCCCAGGACTGTGAGGCCAGGGGCCCCAGGTCCGGCGGGAAATCCCAGAGCAGTGATGTTTGTCCTCAGCGGGGCCACGTGGAATGCCACCTGGAGGAGTGCCAGGCCCTTTCCTGCCCCCAGGACTGGGCAAAGGTGTCCCAGGCTGGCAGCTGCTGTGAGCGATGCCAAGGTTCGGGGCCAGGACGATGGGGGAGGGGTGTGCCAGACCTGGAGTGGGACGGGCATCTGACCCTCCCTCTCTCCTGTTCCCTCAGCCCCCACCCAGTCGTGCGTGCATCAGGGCCGTGAAGTGGCCTCTGGGGAGCGCTGGGCTGCGGACGCCTGCACCAGCTGCTCCTGCGTGGCCGGCACCGTGCGCTGCCAGAGCCAGCGCTGCCAGCCGCTCTCCTGTGGCCCCGTGAGTTCCGCGGTCTAAGGCGGTGAGGATGGTGGCGGGGGACGGGTGTGTGTGTGTGTGTGGTACCGCCGTCAAGTGAGACCCGGCGGGCGTGTGAGAGGGAGGCTGGGCTTCGCTGCGACCTGGGAGTGATTGGGACCGAGGCAAGTGCTGTTCCCGGTGCGGCCATGAGGTGGTGCTCTGGGCCCGCTCGCGGGGAGCCTGGGAGCCGAGTCCGGGCCAATGCGAAGGGTCTGGAGGGGAGGCAGGTGGAGGGAGTTCGGGGAGGGACGGTGTGTCTGACTGTGTCTGGGGCTGAGGCCAGGACCAGGCCCCCGCCCTGAGTCCCGGCAGCTGCTGTCCCCGCTGCCTGCCCCGGCCCGCTTCCTGCATGGCCTTTGGAGACCCGCATTACCGCACCTTCGACGGTCGCCTGCTGCACTTCCAGGGCAGCTGCCGCTACGTGCTGGCCAAGGACTGCCGTAGCGGGGACTTCAGGTGCGTGTGCTCCTACTGCTTTTCCCTCTCCTCCCTAACCCCTTCACCTGGCCCAGCTGACCACTGGCACCTGGGACTCCCGCACCCCCACCCCCCACACAGCGTGCATGTGATCAACGACAACCGAGGCCGTATAGGTGTGTCCTGGACCCAAGAGGTGGCAGTGCTTCTGGGAGACGTGAAGGTACAGCTGCTGCAGGGCAGAGTGGTCACGGTGAGCAGAGATAGGGTGCTGGGAAAGGTTGGTCCTGCGCTGTCCACTCGTCCACCCGGACGTCGCCACTCCTCCTGCCTCTCTTCTTCTCCAGGTGGACGGTCGCCCGGTGGCCTTGCCCTTCCTGCAGGAGCCACTGCTGTACGTGGAGCTGCAGGGACGTGCAGTGATCCTGCATGCCCAGCCTGGGCTCCAGGTGCAGCTGCAGACCTGGGAACCTCCACTCTGTTTAGGCTTCTGTATCCATAGAGGGAGTGGGGTGGGAGTGGAAGGGTGTTGCTGGATGCCCAAGGTGGGGATCAGAAATGTGGAGGGTGAAGAGCGGGAGGAGTAGCTAGAGAAATTCTGAGCCTAGTTTCTAATCTTGGCTCAGCTCCCCACACAATGGGGCTCCTAGACCTCTACCAACCTTTTCTGGGCTTCAGTTTTCTCATTGGTTGAATGGGGGAGGGTAAGTAGGGGTGAGGGAGATGTCAATTCAGGTCTCCCAGGTGGTGTCTGAGGTTCCTTTCAACTCTCATGAGGAAGAGTAATTTTCCCCCCTGCCCTCTGCAAGAAGCAACTTATAAATTCGTAAAATAAGGCTTGTCCACATTGCTGATCCAGACTTTAATTGTACTTAGTCCTCTGTAAAGCCTGAATGTCTGTAAGAAAGTGAATCCCTGGAAGTGGGCTGCGTTTCTTCTGGAGCCCAGTTGAGCGATGCTGATGGGAGAAGGGGCCCTCAGGAGGGAGCTGTCATCTGTCTTTGTCCAGGGCCAGCACAGCATGTACCACCTTGGCCTTCGTCTGAACAGCGTCCCTTCCAAGGGGAGCCTCCACCTGTCCCTCCTCCATAGCACAGAGTGTGCTAACTTAGATCTTGGGGCCATGATGGACCCTGGGCTCTTGGGGTTCCTGTCTTTCCCCACTCTCCAGCTCCAGGCTTCTCTGCACAGGTGCTGTGGGATGGGCAATCCCAGGTGGAAGTGAGGGTGCCCGGCTCCTACCGGGGCCAGACTTGTGGGCTCTGTGGGAACTTCAATGGCTTTGCCCAGGATGATCTGCAGGGCCCTGAGGGGCTGCTCCTGCCCACAGAGGCTGCCTTTGGGAATAGTTGGCAGGTGAGTGGCCCAGGAACCAGGGCTAAGGGGTGGGAGGTATAGCTGAGCATGAGTTTCAGAGCAGCCCCCAGGTATGGAAAGAGAATTAGGGGAGGGGAGGTCACACAAGATGACTTTTGGGCTTTCAGGGAGGTTTGAGGGCTTTTTACTTGTTATGGTGCTGAGAGAGGCAGGTGGCCTGTTGAAAGAGGCTTCCTTATCTGAAACCCCAGATCCTGCATAGCCACTCACTGGCTATATAACCTTGGTCAACTTATCTACCTACTCTGGGTCTTGATCTATCCATCTGTAAAATGGTTACAAGGAGAAAGTAGATGGTGCTTCCTTTGCTATTCTTGTGATGAGACTTTTGAGACTAAAAAAAATTATTGGGTGGGAAGTGCTTTGAAGAAGATAGCACACAAAGTTCAGCTGCCGGGGTGTTGTCACTGTTGTCACTGGTTGGGGCCCAGGGCTGGTTGGTCTTCCACCCTGGCTTATCTAGATTCTGGATGCTGACTGCTATGCTACCTTGCTCAGGAACAATTGCTTTTAGGTGCCTGAGGGCTATCTACTTTAGCAGAAGGGATAGAGAGAGAGAGAGATAGTTTTTGAGGGCATAAAGCAGTCTTCTTAGAAAGATAGATCTTAGCAGTTTTTAGCAAAGCTTAGTAAGCTTCAGCAGAGAGATGCCGTGCTGGTGTTCTGCAGGCAGAAGCGACAGAGTCAGAGTGAGCAGTCCGTGATAGAATGTGTGCGCTCCCGATTGCCCTCTCCTCCAGCCTCTTAAAGACACAATCCCGTGGCTCTTAACACCACAGGTGTAGAGACTGCCAATTCACTAATACTCTCATCTCGCCAGCTCTCACATGCTTGTTATGAGAGCTAAATCCCTCCCCATGCCCTTTTCACCAAGGTGTTCCTTTATTGAGCTACTAGTGTTACTTATAACTCTCATTCCTCCTAGCCATAGGCTATACGGGCTGCTACAGTCACATCAGGGATGCTCTCCCCACCTAGGTCCCAGAGGAGACAAGGCCCAGCCGGCCCTGTTCCCCAGGCCGAGAGGTAGATCCGTGCCGAGCAGCAGGTTACCGTGTCAGACGTGAGGCCAATGCCCGGTGTGGGGTGCTGAAGTCTTCCCCGTTCAGTCGCTGCCATGCTGTGGTGCCACCAGAGCCCTTCTTTGCTGCCTGCGTGTATGACCTATGTGCTTGTGGCCCTGGCTCCTCAGCTGACACCTGCCTCTGTGATGCCCTAGAAGCCTATGCCAGTCACTGTCGCCAGGCAGGGGTGACACCTGCATGGCGGGGTCCCACCCTCTGTGGTGAGGGGGTGATGCCCGTTTGGGAGAGGGGTTTGCACAGAGAGGAAGGGCAGGCCAGGGGGCTTGGGTCTAGATAGGGTGGGCATAGGGAGTCCCCCAAGGGCTGAGCACAGCAACTGGAGCAGTGTTAGGTGCCCTAGTGACCCTGCCTTCCACTCTGTTGCAGCTGTGGGATGTCCCCTGGACCGTGGCTTCGTGTTTGATGAATGTGGCCCTCCCTGTCCCCGCACCTGCTTCAACCAGCATGTCCCTCTGGGAGAGCTGGCTGCCCACTGCGTGAGGCCCTGTGTTCCTGGCTGCCAGTGCCCTGCAGGCCTGGTGGAGCATGAGGCCCACTGTATCCCACCTGAGGCCTGCCCCCCAGTCCTGATTGCTGGGGAAAAGCCACTCAGTGCTCTGCCCAGACCCAGCTGGGAGCCATGAGGGACACCCTGAGCCAGGATGACACCTGACCAGGACTCATCAGACCAGAAGTCTCTCCCTGGCTTGCAGCTCCCATCCTGGTCAGGGCTGTGGAGAGAGTGCCCGACCTGGGCCCATGTCCTGCAAACACCTCAGCAATGTTGAGCCACAAGCAGTAAACTCTGGGCCTGCCAGAATCTTCCTTGTGTGTGTGTGTTTCCTCCTGGTGCTGGGATAGAGGCTTGGCTGCTTGGAACATGGAGTGCAGTAGTTAGTGTCCCCAGAATCAGAGGAGCTTGCTGGTTCCTGTGCCTGTATGCCTGGGCTACCCCAACTGGCTCCTCCCTGGTGCTGTCTGGGAAACCCTGCAGGCAGATGGAGGACCCAGGTGTCCTGGTCCCAGCCCTGTATTCACTCTGTGTAGCAGGCATGGCCATGGCCCCCATATGGGAGCCCACAGGAGCTGAGGATCCACAGAGAGGATCCACAGGCTTGGTCTGCACGTGGCCTCCATTTTCCTCTTGGTGTGGTGGCACCAAGTGCTCAGGTGCCTTCTGGGTCACTCTTAGAGCTGGTGATGTAGGCACTCATGCCTGGCATGGGGAGAAGCAGAGACAACAGACTGTGATGCATTGTGGACACATGCATTGCACACACAAAGACATACACACACTCACACCTCAGAACTCCGAGAGACATGCAACACATGCGTGCACACTCACCTGCACTCACAACCACACGCACCCAGCCATGGTAGCTGTAGAAGCTCATACAGCTTGTGAAGACTTCTGCTCACATAGCTTATGAAGACTTCCTCGTAGGGGAGAAAACATGGGATGGTTTTTAAAAATAAAATTTATAAGAAAAATAACTCAATTCTTATAAAGGCTGAAAAAAATCCAAGGTCAAGGGGCTGCATGTGGGGAAAGCTTTCTTGCTGGTGGGCAGTCCTGAGGCAGCACAGGATATCACAAGGGGCTGATATGCTCAAGAATATGGGTTTTGAGATAGAAAAAGGTCCAGAATTTGAGATCTCTTTGCCAGGGACTAGCTATGTGACTTTGGCATTTTAGGGACTTAGCATTTTAGGACTTTCAGGGATCAGGGGACTCCATTCTCACTGCCAGTCCCTGATATTCCAACTGGGAGCTAAGGGAGAGGATGCCACAGAGCACCGGTCATCCGCCTGGCTTGCCCAGGCCTCTTCCACGGAGGTAGTTCTCTTTCAGGGCCCTGAGAGGAGAGTTTGCTCCCTTCTCTCAGGAAGCAGGGACAAAGCTGCTCATGACAGCATGGGGAGTAAAGATAAAGACCATCTCCTGTACTTGGTCCCTGTCCTCACTGCACAAACTTTTCTCATGTGTAAAATGAAGATCATGGTAACACGTGTCTCATGTTTGGAGAGACATGAGCCATGGACAGTACTCAGCAGGTGGACAGCATGGACATGCACTCAGGCAATGTTCTTAAGGGCTTGACCTCTTCCTGTTCACATGAGCCTCTTGGTGCAAATGGCTTTGGCTCCATGTTTTCCCAGAAGGTGTCACATCTATCCATCTCCAGATAAGGGAACCATTGCCAGTCTTCTCAAGTGTAAATGGTACAATGATGGCACCTGCTTCACAAAGTCACTGCAAGGAAGGGTTATGTGCTATGTGTCTGAAGCATTTTGTGTTCTGGCACTTACTGAGCTGGGGGTAGCCACTGTGGCTGTGGCCATATGTGTCAATATAGCACAGCTATAAAGGTCACGTGTGTGTCTGTACATACAGCGTATGTCAGATAGTCACTGGGGATTGCATACAAGCACATACACCTGCCAGTCAGGGTCATACTCCTCACTCCACACTGTCACCCCCATGGCCAAAAGACCAGTCTTAGAGTCAGGCCAGAGTCCTTCTGTGGCTTGGCTGCAGCCCAGGCCCCGGGCTCAGATGTCAGGCCCTGCATTATTGAGATCAGAGCCCTGGGCTCTTCCCCCTCAGCCCGGGGCTCTCTGTGCTCCATCTCCCTCCAGGCTTTCCATGGCGCAGGAAGCCATGCCTGGAGGCTTGGGGCTCCCTTGCAGCCCCAGGCAGGCTTTGGCTCTCTGCCAGCATCTTTTCCAGCACCCTGCCAGCCTGATGCAGCCAGTGCTCTGGGCTGCACTTCAGCAGGTGAGGAGGGGGGGAACTCTGCCTGAGAAGGGAAAGGGACAGGTAGGGGCCTGACTCCACCTTCCCCCCTAGGTGCAAGAGGCCAGAGGCTGCCCCCCAGGGCTGGAGCTGCCCACTGTGCTCCTGGAGATGGAGCGAAGCTAGCGGGCCCAGGAGCAGGTGGGAGCTTGCCAGCGTCTGGGGCAGAGGCCAGGTGACTGCCCCCTTGTACCCTGACACCCCACCTTCCTGCAGCTTCTGTGGGACTTGGAGCTGCTGACGGGGGCCGGACTTCACCTCTTCTGACCTCCCCAGGCCCAGTTTTGCAATCTGTGGGGCCAAGCCTGGCGTGCATGGAGTAGCAGGGGTGGGGACTTGGAGCAGCTGGTGAGTGGGTGAGCAGAGGCATAATGGGGGGTCAGGGGGCAGAGGGTCCTAGGATACTGGGCCCCCTGTAGCAGTGAGGGCAGGTAGAAGGAGCAGGGGTCTTGGAGACAGATGGGTCTGGGGTCAGCTGCCTCTTTTGATGCTTCCTGTGGACCATGAGCCTCCCTGTCCTCATCTATAAATGTGGACTCTTTAGATTTTTCTCCAAGGACTGCTGGGAGGACCAGTGAACTCATCTCAGTAAAGGGCTGGACACAGCGCATGCCAGTTCTGGGCAGGCTATTCTCATCGTCACACAGTTAACAACTATCTTGGTCAAATCAACTGTGTGGTGGTATCTGGAAGCCTTTCAGGTGGCTGCAGAATGGGAGGAAAGTGGCCTGGCAGAGAGGCACCAATGTCTAGGGAGGGAGGCGCTGTGCACTAACTGGGCCCAGCATAGCAAAACTGAGAACTGGGAATTCATGTCTCAGTCCCAGCTCAGCCACCAGCTGCCCAAGTGAATCTGAGCAGGTTAGTAGTCTTCTCTGGGCCAAGGCTGTAGCTGTAGCAGGAGAGGTTGTTCACGGTGACTATGAAGGCAGAGACCAGCCAACATCTTGGGCAAAACTGCAGTCTTATCTGAAGGCTGTTTCTAAGATCCTTCATGTAGAAGGAAGGGAGTCACATGAGGGCATGCAAACCAGGTGGCCTGCCTCACAAGGGGGCTTCTTAGAGGCTGTGACCACCCAGGGTGAGGTGCCCTATGGACTAGGGCATCCCCAACCCTTCCAGAGTTCCAGGCTGCAATCTACGCACCCGGCTGAGGACTCTCTGAATTAGAATCATGAGCTCACAGAGGGGTGAGTCTTTCTCACAGGGAATCAGGGTGGCCACATAAAGTAGCCAAGAGCTGGGGCCTTTCCCCATCGCCTCCCCTGTCCTGCCTGGTGCCCCCTTCTTGTGCTCCTGCTTTTCCTGAGCTCCTGCTCAGTTGCACCCATGGTTGCTGAATTCCAGCTCCTGGGATCCAGTGGTGGGGGCAGGGACTGGAGGTAGCCACCTGGAACTCAGTTTGGGTACTGGGGTAGACAAGGCTCAGCAGGCTGGGGTGCTAGGGAGACTGGCAGGTGAGTGCCTTTTCCTGGGCCCTTACAGGTGCAGCTGAGACAGCCCTTGAATTCCTGCAGGGGGCAGGTGATAGACCCATCATCAGCCCCAGATCTGGGTGAAGCTGAGATTAATGTGGACAGAAGGGTAGAAAGTCCTGACAGGCCTGCAGCACCCACATATGGTATGTTGGTTGATAGAACGGGACAGGTAGCCAGGACAGCAGGGCACCCCTGGGGCTGGGGTAGCCAGATTGCACTGTGAGGAGGCAGGAAGTCCCCACCTCTGGGCCAATGACCTCAGATCTTAAGTCATTCTTCATCTCACACTTTTTGATTGAGTTCCTGGGACACTTGGAGATGGCAAGCAGGTTTTGTTTTATGTGCCATTTCAAACTAGTTGGTCCCAGCTGTCTCTGGTACTATGTCCAGCAGGATATGGCATTAAACTGGAGCTCAGGAAAGAGATCCCAGGAATGGCCATCACTGACAGCCCAGGGAGAGAACAGAATAGCAACTCCATGCCACCTATTACCACTCTTGAGCCAGAATCTGGGGATACATAGAGAGCAAGAGAGACTAGGTCCCTGTCTTCAGATCCCAGCCTGGTGAGAGAGTAATAATAGGCAATTTGAATACAGTGGGTAGGATACTGTGAGCCTTGGGCCTGTTCCTTACATGAAACAGACTTTTAATGCATTAAATAATAAACCTTGCGAAGCCATAAGCTTTTAAAATTTTTTTGTAGAAACAGAGTCTTACTTTATCGCCCTTGATAGAGTGTCATGGCGTCACACAGAAGCCATAAGCTTTTGATTGTTTCATCATGCACATGAGAGAAGAGGAAAGTGCCAATAATTAATTTCTGATTGACAGAGAAAGTTTTACAAGTATTTTCTCTCTTGAGAAGACAGAGATATCAATTATAGCATTATTACCAGAGAAATACATTCTCTAGCAAGACAATAGATCAGAATTACAGGCTAGTGTGGGGAGGTTGTTTTCACAGTTCGTGGCAATCATTTCTAAAGGCCCGGGAGTCCTAAAAAAGTCCTTTGTTCAAAAAACTCTTTGAAAATCTGATTTATTTTTGGAGAGCTTACCCATTTGGTCACTGCAATGAATATTCACATGCCTGTATATTTCACAAAAGAACAAGATGAAATATTCTTGTGCAAGTTCTCGATTTCAGACCTTAAGAAATCAGTTTCTTTTAAGTAGTTTTATAGATGCCGAACAACTCCTTCCTCTGCAGCTGCAGGGGAGCAGCAACATATCATCTCTCTTTTTAGATTTCTTTTGTTAATTACGAAGACTTGCAGTTTCTAGGCCAGACACTGGCCTAAAATTTCATTTCTTGAATTTCATTTGATTTTGCTGTCAGAAACAAAAAGCCTGATGGGCACACAGGGACAAAGTGGGAGTGTCTGGCCTTGGCTGGTGGCATGCAGGAGATGGCCTCTGCTGTTGGTGGACACACCTGACAAGCAGGCTTGTGGCCAGCTGTGCAAACAAAGGTGGAATGATGTACTGTGACAACCTTTTAAGTTTAAACAGCTGCCTTAGGGCACCCCCAGCCATGCTCTGAGGACTATCTAGGCTTCTTGCCTCCATTCAGGTTAGGGGCTGGGACATGAGCAGAGACTCCCAATACTTGTCTTTCTCCCTCAGGTTCCTTACTAGAGCTGAACTCCACCACCAGCAGGAGCTCTGGGGAGCTAAGAAGCTCAGAGTCCAAGGTCCTGGCAAGGGGTCTCTCAGGTTGGGGGTGGAGGAGTTGGCTGTCTGGGAGGGGGCTGCTGGGGTGAGGTGGGGCTGCCTTCCCTGGCCAACTCTCTACAACACACATGGAGGATTTAACAAATTCAGGAATTCAGCAGGGGTCAGCCACTGGGGTCTGCAGGTTCCTCAGGAGAAGTGGCCCTGATTGGGATTCAACTCTGGGCTCACCGTGCTCTTCCTTCCCAGGACCTGGTCCAGAGGGAGGAGGAGAGCCACAGAGAGCCTGCAACCCAGAGGCCTCATCGATTGCCATCCAGGAGTCCACAGGAGACAGAGCTCACTCAGGGAGCCCCAGCACCCTCTGACCTGCCTGCCCATGGCCTACCAGAACTCCATGATGCTCCCCAGAGGCTGGGCTCAAGCCTGGGTCATGAGGGAATAGAACTTCAGAAACTGCAGAGGAGGGACAGTCCTCAGAGTCAGAAAGGGGAGGATCCTCAGGGTCAGAGAAGGGAAGCCTCCCAAGGTGAGGACAAAGAAGTTCCTCAGTGTCAGAGAGAGAAGACATACCAGGGTCAGAGCTGGGAGGCAACCCAGAGTAAGAATAAAGGGGTTCCTTGGCGTCAAAGAGAAAATAGGCCCAAGTGCCAGAGAAAGAAGAGGCCTCAGAGTCAGGAAAGGGAACATCCTTGGTCTTCTGAAGGCAGTATCCCACAAGCCTGGGAGGGGGCTCAGGGAGAGGAGTCAGTACAGCTTCTGAAGCAAGGCGGCTCCCTGGGCCACCCAAAAGACTTCCGCAGGTCCCTAGGAAAACAGATCCGGCAGCTTAGGGAAAGGAATAATGTAGGCCCGGGGGGAAGGAGCACAGGGCTGATGCCAGGCAAGACCCAAGGCCAGAGACCAGATTTGGCAAAGCCGGGGACCGCTGGGGAGGAGGCGTGGACTGCACTTCAGAGCCTGAGATCTTGGCCAGGCCTCAGCTCCCAGGCCCCAGCGCCATGGTGCCCGAGGCACTATGCCCTGGGGACTCTGGGCAGCAGGCACACCCGGCGGCTCTCCCGGGGTACCCAGGGCTGGTGTGCCACCCGCACGTGCTGCCGGGCCCAAGGGAGGCCCTGGCCGGACAGGACGGCAGGTGGGAGAGAGGCAAGGTTCCCTGGTGCCCTCGAGGAGCAGAGGAGTTGCCCCGAGGCCCCAAAGGCCGCGTGGCTGGAGCCCTCGGGCGTGAGCGCGGCGCAGCAGGAGGCTCTGCAGCAGCTGGTGGAGCTGCACCGCGCGGCCAGGCGGCGGCGGCGGCAGGACCGTGAGCAGCAGCGGCTCCGGGTGTGTCCCCGCTCCATGATGGGCAGGGGCGGGGGCCAGGCCGGGTTGCCTGCTGCGCCAAGGGGCGGCTAGATGCTGACTGCAGCCTCCCCAGGTCCTGGAGCGCCTCGGAATCGCCAGGAACCGCCACTGCCAGGGCCACCCTCAGTGCCTTCCGCCCAGCCTGGCCCAGCTCTGGCCACAGGCAAGGCCCCCAGGAGAAGGCGGTGGGGCCCCAAGGACCCCGCCCGGGTCCCTCCGAAGCGAGGGCGGTGCGCGGGCAGTAACTCCCAGGTGGAGCATGGGAGGCGGGTGCCCGGCTTGGAGAGGCGCTCAGCGCTCTTCATGGCAGGAGGACCCGGCCGGGCAGCAGCGCGCGCTGAAAGAACAGCTGGAACAAGTGCACTGGGAGAGGACCCGGCGGCTGTGGGCCCTCAGGGCCAGGTGAGGGGCGGTAGGGAGAGAGGTGGTAGGTGGACAGTAGTATGGGGCCCTCCTGTCCCTTGCATCTGGTCTGACAGGCCACTCTTTCCCCAGGAACACCCAGAACTTTCAGGAGCTACTGTGGCCCCCTAGTGCCAAGGAGCTAACGACGACTGATGAGTAGCACTCTTGCCCTTCCTTCTGTCACTGCTGGCTCCTCAAAGGAGTCAGGTCAAGGAAAAAGCAAGAGGGCAACCTGAGGGTCAGCAGTAGTTTCAAAGGCCCAAAATGCGGCCACAGGGCCTGTGAGAGCAGAGACACACAGACACACATTAGCTTTGCCCCACCAGGAAGACTATTATTTCTCCTTCCCTCCCTCAAGCCCACCACCTGGGCAAGGTCAGAGGGCCAGGTCCCGAGGATCAAGCAGTGCAAAGGCCCCATTCTTGCGGAAGAATGACTCGATGCGGCACATCTTGCAGGAGACCAATTCTTGCTTCACTGGGGGGCCTGAAAAAGATGTCAGAGGCCAGGAATAGGTTCCTGGGGAAGGGACACGCAGAGAATAGAGCACAGAGCCCTGTGTGTCTGCATAGCCTTAGGATTTTGCCCATGTTGTAGCCACTTTGTAGGAAGAAATAAAGTGCTTCTGAGGTGTGAGGGCTACAGAATGTAGGAGGTTGGCTGGATCCCTGTATACAGCAGTGACAGCAGAATGACACTACCCGTTACTGCTAGCTTCAGGATCCTCTAAATGGGGGTGGGGGAATACCTGGCCCTGCTTGTCACAGCAACAGACTATGGAGAGATGGGGCTTCCTTCTACCTTCTGCTCCCCTTCTGGGACTTGCCTCCTACTTTTTTTTTTTTTTCTTTTTGGAGACAGAATCTCACTATGTTGCCCTAAGTGGAGTACTGTGACATCACAGCTCACAGCAACCTCAAACTCTTAGACCTAAGCGATTCTCTTGCCTCAGCCTCCCAAGTAGCTGGGACTACAGGCGCCCACCACAACACTCGGCTATTTTTTTTTTTTTTTGTCGTTGTTGTTGCAGTTGTCATTGTTGTTTAGCTGACCCAGGCTGGGCTCAGTGCACAGGGCTGGCGCCGTCACCACTGTGCTACGGTGCAGGGGCACCAAGCCTTGCCTCCTACTTTTGTTAGAAAGTTGCTCCCCATGACTTCTCCCTTGGGGCTGGCTGGGGAAATGAGGGAACTTTGGGGTCAAAATCTCAACCCAGCCATCCCTTCCCTCCAACTATCCACCTTTTCAGGCACTCAAGCAGCTGGAGGACTTGTAAACTGGAAATTTACAAGTACAGATAGTAAAGGGGCATGCAGCTCTGCCCATTTGGCAGCATGCCCCTTCCTCACACCTGTGCTTTTCCCCTCTAATTACTCTGCGGCCCAACCCCTCGCCCTCTCCACTGAGCCCAGATGGACAGCCTTCCCTCCAGAACCTGCCCTCCCTGCCTCTGCCTCCCCCTCCTGCCATTTTGCAACAACTTGATCTCCCCAGGTTATCTGGCCCAATTTCAGCACTTTAAATAGCACCTATATTCTATTGACCTCCGAGTATGATCTTTAGCTCTGACTTATTCCTGAGGGCCAGGCTTATAGACACAGCCACCTTTTGACACTGTAAGCCTAACATAGCCACATGGACCTCTTTACATACACCCTTCAGCCCAGCCTCCCTGTCCAGAGTTCACAATCTCTCCTGAAAAAGCTATTGCCTACAGGCCTGAGTTTTTAAAAAGTAAATCAGTGTCACTCTTAAAGTCTGCTTAAAACCAACTGTCTTCCTCTGCACTGAATAAAACCCAGGTGCTGTCCGGCGGGGGGAAATAATAGAACCAGGCCTTCCCCCTTGTCATTTGGCTCTCAGCCTGCAGGTGCTCAGAAAGGCCCTGACAATCTAAAGTGCATGACCCAAACTCCCTGCCCAATGTCATTCTGTAGTTGCATGGAACTTGTTCCTCTCAGACATTTCCTTGTTCTTATCCTTATGGTCTAGGGCCCCATTCTGTTTGTGAGGAGACTAATTTCCAGGAGGTTGGGGCTCACCAAGCTGCCAGCCATATGTGAAGTTGGTGGTGATGGGGAAGAGGTAGCGCGTCTCTGGCATGTCCAGTTTCCGGGTGTTAAGGTAGCTGTAGCGTCCCTGGAAGTCGTGGGAGATACCTTCATACAGCAGGGCCCGGGTGGCAGGCAGGACTGGGTACATTTCTGACTGAAAAGGCACCTCTGGGACAGAACTGGAGGCTTTGGAAGGGACTGCTTGGGGGGCAGGTGCAGGTGAGTGTGGGGTTTTGGGGTACAGTGTGGGCAGCTTGAGGGGCAGGCGGGCTGCAGCCTTAGCCTTCTGCTTGGCCTTCACCAGTGACCCATACTTGCGGTTCCATTCACAGCGCAACATCTTCTCCCTCAGATATTCCTCCTTCCAAAAGTTTTGCTGCTGTGTGTCCATGTTGAGCTGCCGCAACATGGTGGCGAGGAGGAGCAGTACTGAGTGGCTGCAGCTAGGGCTTTAGCACAGTAAGCGAAGTGCTTAAGACAGTGGGTGGCTGCCCTGGGACAGTCACCTGGCAACCAAGCTTTGCCTCACACAGGGCCAGGGTTCTACTTGCAATGCCCTTAGCAGACCTCATGTGCCTTGTTTCCTGAGGCAGCCTGGGGCCAGGATGCACTGGCTAAGAACCTGGCCTCCAAACCTCCTCCTGCAAGACCCAGGCTGGATCTAGTACCTCCCAGGTTTTCTGTGCTTTCTGCTTCTGTCCCTTGGATCAGGGCTCCTCCCAGCCCAATGCAGATTGAGGTGGGGGCTCTGGGGCTGGACTCAAGCTTCCTCCATTCCTCCACTGCAAAGCTGGTCTTCTTTAATCCATAGAACCAGTCCCTGAGTTATGGTTCCCTGGCACAACAGTCCTGGTCCACCTCTCTAACTCTAACTAGAACCTTTCCCATCCTTGCAATCTAATCTCCCCTGATACCCTTACCCCACACGTGTCCTTTCCAGCACTCAACCTCAGTTTGGAGGGAAGAATATTACTTTAATTTAACATTGACAATGACACTGTGTAACAGCACAGGGAAGAGGTAGTGGAGAGAGAAGATGGTCAGGCTTCCTGTTCCCCAACCAGCCTTGATTTAATGGCAGAGTCCCAGCAACCTAGAAGTACCTCTCCTAGCCTCTCAATAGGGTGAAAAGGGGCAGGGAATTGGAAATTAGAGGCTTAAAACTTGAAGGACTGATCCAAGTCTAGGAGAGACCTGGAAATGAAGGAGAGGCTGAAAGCTGTGGGAGTCCCCTAGCGCAGGTCTTCGGCAGTGAACATGCCCCTGGCTCTGCGCAGGATGGAGTCCTTGGCGGCATCATACGGGTGCTCCTTGGATGGGATCTCCAGGACTGCCGGAATGGAGCGCTGGTGGGCATCCAGGGCATGCCGAACCATCTCTGCGATGTACTGGTTGATGAGGATGATGCCAACGTCATCTCGGTTTAGAAACTGCCTATGGGGAGAAAAAAGAAGGGAATACAGGGCAGCTCTGGGGCTGCTGTGTCCCCTGCCTAAGAAGTCCACTCTGAGCTTTTAGGCTCGGATGTAGAGAGGAATGAACATGACTTTGAGTGCACAGAGGACAAGGGGAAAAGCTACTCTGCTAAACTCTCAATCCTATTCAGAATGGACTTCGTCCAAGAGCTAAGGGCCATGTTGACCTGGATTGGCTTCTACCTCCCCTGCCTGGAAGGCTTCCAAGTAAACTGGTAATGAAGATCACCAGTGGCAGGGTATTCAATGTGCTGCCTTACTGAAGGACAGGGAGAAGCTAAGAATATATGTATTCCTTTGTATCCGCATAAAGAAATACCAAAAAAGAGTGGGCAGCACATGTGGCTCAAGAAGTAAGGGTGCCGGCCCCATATACCAGAGGTGGCAGGTTCAAACCCACCCCGGCCAAAAAAAAAAATACCGAAAAGAGAAGGAAGAAAGGAAGTGGTTAGCTATAGGGGTGGTAGAGGAAGGCAATGAGGTAGGTAAAAGGGCCTGGTGAACCATGTCTCTAACAAAAATGAAAAATCCCAAAAACCAGGGCTGATGAGATCATTGAAAGCCTCTATGCTGATGAGGCTGAGGGATGGGTCTGAGATGAGCCCAGAACACAAGCTAGGGAGAGGAAATTCAGTAATAAAGGAACCACATTTTCCATACAGGCAGAATATGGCCCTGCAGTTCTCCTTTCTTATGATTACCCACCCAGTCATTATTTATTAAGAACTATTTACTGAGCCAGGTGTAGTCGAGTTACTTGGGAGGCTGAGGCAGGAGGATTGCTTGAGCCAGGAGTTCTAGGCCATCCATAGTGTGCTATAATTGCACCTGTAAACAGCCACTGCAGTCCAGCCTGTGCTATAGCAAAAAAGAAAAAATAAAAAACTACAGTAGAACCACTGAAAGCTGACCACCAAAGGACTGAAAGAAACTGGTCAACATAAAGAATTAGTTTTGCTGTACTGACATGCACATGTGGTGCATGTCTGGTCTATAAAAATTCGGTCATCTTAAGGAGGTGGTTCATGTAGGGAGGTGGTCAACTATGGAGGTTCCACTGTATTTACTAAGTTCCAGTGTATTTACTAAGCACCCACCCCATGATAGGCACTAGGGTAGGCGAGACTTGATCCTCTGACATCCTCTTTGGTTGAAAAAATGTAAAACTTTTGAAGCAAAATTTGTCCTTCTCACATGACAACCGGGTGGCACTTCACCAGTCAGTTTAGAGATCAACAGATAACTGCCTCCCAGGTCAGGACCTATCACAGAACCCAGGCAGCAGGAACTAGTCTCAGCTGGTGGCTCTGGGCTGGGCTGTTTAGGGGGAAACAGGTGAGAATGGTATAATCCAAGAGGCTAAGAAAAGAACAGGAGGCTGGTATACTCAATTCCAGTCACCAAGACAGTCCTGTATTACTGGCATGGCTGCACCCACACTTTGGAGCTATCAGCCTTGACCCAGGGCAGAAGGTGGGATCTGAAGTGCAAGGTCTTAGGAGAAGGCCAGATACAGTCCAGTATTTGCCTGAAGATGAAAGGGAAATGAGGAGTGTTTCATAAGCAGAGTACTTGTTTTTACGAGAGGCAAAAAGGGTTAGGATTAAGTGCAAAGCCCTGCTCCATCTCTTCCGCCTGCTGTGACTTTGGGGTATGTGTCTTAACCTTTCTGAGTTTTAGTTTCCTCACCTGTAAGTGGGAAAAACCCCTAGGTTACATGACGTTTATGAGCCTTCAAACAACACAAGAAAGCCCAAGCTGATTGGCTTTAATCAAGTGTGCGGTTTCCTTAGGGGGCAACTGGCAAAAGAGCTCTACGTAGGGAACCCCTGAAGAGGCGCTGAGGTTGGCCGACAGCTGCGACTAGGCACTCTGGGCATCCAACTATGGGTAGGGGGTAGGTTGGGCTGAGCGGTGGCGCCCATTCCGAGCTGTTCCCCTTCTTTACTGATACATGATCATGTGAAGGGTGAGCTCGTGAACCTGACGTAACCCTGGTCCCACCAAGTCCCCAAAGGGAACTTAGGGTGCGGAGGCCTTTGCTCCAGAAGGGCAGACTTCCAGGACAGCGCCCAACCTCCCGTCCGCGTCTGACACCTTGATCCCCGGTACATCTCCACCCTCTCCCTGCGCGTCCATCAGGCAGCAGAAGGGCCCATCCGCCCGGGCTACTGTACCGGAAAGTGTCTTCGATCTCATTTATAGTTGTATCCTTCTCCACCACCAGGAAATTAGGATGACGGTTCTTGTTAAGTTCCCCTATGCCGCCCAGTAGGAAACCAGTTACCGTGTCCTCGTCTCCGATCACCGCGATTAGCTTCCCCCTCCCCGCCATTCCTGCAGCCAGGTAGAGCTCAACCCGAAGCCCCAAGTCACCGAATCTCCGCCCGGCGTCGCGGCGCCAGAACGTTCTCGCCCCACCCTTAAGGCATGCGCAGTTCTCCCAACCCGCCTTCCGGGACATGCGCATTAATAGGAAGGCGGTCTTAATCTGATACGCCTGCGCCATAAAGAGAGAGTCGAACCAGGAGACTACGACTCCCAGAAGGCTGTGCGGCCTTACAGCTTCTCCCAGACGTCCATCGGTTCATTCTTTCCTTCAATGAGGAGTTCATTTCGTTGGTTCATTCGTTCAACATGTGTTTTGAGCCTAGCAGTGTTAGACGGCGAGGACCCAGGGAAGAAAAGACGCAGTTCTTGCTCTCAAAGGCAGGATCTGGGGCTGTGTTGTATACTTATATAACTATGACACATCGTTAATTACTCAATAAGTGTTCAATTAATAATAATAATAAAAATGACACTGGCTAGTGAGGTAGTGTCTAGCGAACAGGCAATTACAAAGCTATGTGTTTATTGCTAAAATGAAGCACAGGTGAGTGATAACTAACCCATGGGGATAGGGGTGCTCAAAGAACACTTCCTTGAAAAGGTTGCATGGCATCTAAGCTGAGAGTGGAAGAACAAGCAGGATGAAGGAGATCAAGACAGGACAAGGGACAGAGAACAGCTTATGCAAAGACTTCCTGACTAGAGGGCATATGGACTCTTAAGAAAAGCTATTGAATCTGGAAGTTACCCTGAGGACAAAGTTATTCTGAAGCCACTGAAAGATTTCAAGCAAGAGAGTGCTCAGATTTATGTTGTAGAGTTGTCACTGTGACTATGTTAGGTGCAGAGGCAAGAACGAAGGAGAAACCAAATGGGGTGTTACTGTGGTAAGAAATGGTGGCCAGAAGGCAGGTAGTGTAATGGGGAATGTGGAGAAGTAGGTGGAGTGGACAGATATTTAGAGCTAGAATGGACAAAACTGACTTTTGGTTGGATGTGCTTGGGGAACAAAGTAGAGAGAGACCCAGGAGATTTTCAGGTTTCCAGTCTGTGCAGCAGATGAATGGGAGTAATGTTCCCTCTTTCTGTGAGGTGAACAAGTTGAAGGAGAAAGGGCCACTCCTTTCTCATTCCTTTCAAATCATATGGGCACAAGGGGAAGAGAGGGCAGAGAGTGATGAGGGGTGATAAGGGGGGAGGGAGAAGTGAGGAGGTGAATAGGCTGTTGTGGTGTGGGGAGGGTGGGAATTAGGATGGGGCCACATGTTTTGGGTCTTCTCTGGCAGACCCCACTAGTATGTGCTAAGTGCCCAGGGGTTGCCCAGATTAGTTGAATGAAATGCTTCTGCTTCTGCTCTTATTTTATTATTATTATTATTATTGCCCTGCTCTGGCTAGTCAGTTGCTCATTCAGTTATTCATTCAGACCTATATTAGACTCCCAAAGATCAGGGAATTCAGTTTTGTGGGGTCACAGATCAGGGTAGTAAATGTAGCCAAAGATGCAGTGGGGCGGTATGGGAACTGGGAGCACTAGTCCAAGAGGGATAGGGAGGGGTCCAGGAAAGCTTCTCATTGGCTGGGAAGATGGAGGTAGAGAGGCAGGAGTGTTTCAGGGGAAAGGTCCAAACTGCAGCTTGGGTGTTTAGGACACTAGAGGTGGTGAAGAGCGGTTGGAGCAGGAGGTCTCCATAGGGAGTGGAGTGTGGTTGCTGCCTGAATCTCATGGAGTCAGGGGGAGGGAGGATGGCATCTATCATATGAACCTGGGGCCTTAGAGACTTCCTAAAGGAGAGGAGACTTTAGCCTGGAATGGGAGGAAGATATAGAGGGCCTAACTGGAGAGGGCAGAGTTGCTGTAACATGACCCCTTCTAGCTATTCCACTCCAGGACTGAGAGTGGAATGGAGGAGGTTGCCAGGGCCAGGAAGACTAGTTAAGAGGTTGGGAGAGGCCCTGAGCAAGGTCTGTGCTGGAAGTGGGGATGGAACAGTCCAAAGTGGCCCAGGAACTGGCTGGAGGGAAGGTTCCTGGATTTGCAGGTGGTTTTGCCTGCCTGTTGGTTGAGAAACATTCTTGTTTCAATCAGAGCTGGGTTTTTTATTTTTGTTTTTTGGGGTTTTTTTGTTAAGCAGGCCTGGGCCCGATTCATACCGGCCACCCTTGGTGCACTACAGTGGGCTGGTGCCCAGCCAGAATCAGAGCTGTTTTAAGATCTTAATTTGAAAAACATTCTTGAGGTCAGGCTGAACTGAAACTGGCCCCCTACTGTCCTAGGGCAGTCTTGCAAAACATGGTGTCTGCCTCTTCACCATCTACCAACCTCCCTTTGCTGAGGACCAATCCCTGAGCTCCTGACCCTGGCTCTTTCAAACCCTCTGTCAACATCCCAGACCCCACCTCTGACCCAGGCCCATCCCCTAAGCCTGGGCCAGTCCTCCAGGGGACAGTCATCTGGCCTCTGCCTCCCCAGGGTCTCATTTATTGCTAAGGGGCCAGAAGGCAGCCAGCCAAAGAGAACACACTGACAAGAGACAGCCAAGTCTCTGCGACAGGCCGCACTTTATTTGGAGTTTTCCACCTAAGCAGCTCTCAGCTGAGCCACATGACATGTGCAAAAGTCCCCCCAGAAAGCTGGGCCTTGCAGTGTGTAAAAAAGGGCCCCCATGGGGCAGAGCTGTGCAATCGTAAAAAAAAAAAAAAATAATAATAATGAGAGAAATTAGTCCCCCAGAAAGCCTGGCTTGGGCAGAGTATCCACTGCTCAGGCCAGTCCACAGGCCACTCCACTGCCAAATGCTCAGGGTCTGTTTTCTTCTCAGATTGTGCTTTCCTTTAAAAGTCTTTAACACTCTGGGGCCAGACAAAGTCTTCAGGCGTAGACAAATGGCCAGCAGTACAGTTTGAGGGAAACTTCTCTCTCCCAGATACCCCAGCACAATGCTCTCCCGCTGGGCTCAGGCCCAATTGAAAACTCAGGGCTTCCCTGGCCTCCAGGCCCCCATCCAACCCCTGAACTGCCCAATCTGCCCTCATATCACATTCCAGGAGAAGGATATTGCCCTGAGACAGACAAGGCCCTCCAGCCTCTGAGGGCATGGTTGGGAAGGGAGTCTGTGCCATTCCTATCACCCCCAAGGCAAGTGTTTATAGTGTCTGATTTTGTGCGTGTACATCTGGGTGTGGCACATTTGCGTGTGTGTGAGTTTGGCCAGAGGTGGGGACCGAGGCTGGGGGAGGCACTTCTGGGATTCAGGGCACATTGACTTTGAAGGGGCTTCCAGGGACACTTTCGTCGCCCCACTTGACGATGAGGATGTAGTCCCCTTTCTCCTTGACTGTGTAGGTGACGTTGTACACCCGGTTCCCCATGTGCTTCACGTATACCTCCTCACATGGGGTCTTGGGTCCATGCACGCCCACCATCATCATGTTGGTGCCTGGACAGGGAGGTAGAGGGACTCAGTCACTATAGGGCTGGCCCACACCCTGCTCCCCGATGCCTTCTTACTCCCACCCACCCCATCCCCACAGACGAGCCCACCCTGGTTCAGGGCCCTCCCCTCCCCTCTAGCCTGCCTGCTTTGCTGCAGTCCACGGTGAAGGAGTTCTTCTGGCCCACAAAAGCCTGGGACAGTCCAGGGCCCCGTGTCACCACCTTGCTGGCATCTGAGGAAAACTTGGGGATGGAACTGTAGCTGGAGCCCCGGCTTGAAGACGACTTGGTCACAGTCTCCACCAAAACCGTGGATGTTTCATGAAGGCTGTGGCCTCCAGACAACCGGGGACCTGAGGGGCAGATGGGGTGGCCATGAGCAGGGTCAGATGGGCTTCCTGCCCTTCCCCTGCAGTGGGCCCTCAGCTGGCATTGTCACCCTGCTAGACTCTCTACCTGAGCACTCACTGCACCCTGGGAGCACAGCCCATTCACAGCCAGGCCTGGCTGCCAGCTCCAGTCCCTGCTTGGCCCCAGGTCTTAGGGCCTGAGGCTCCATCCCTCATCCTTGCAGGCTTTGGGAGCTCAGCTAACTCACAGGGTAAGGGTCTTGCTTAGGAACGAACACACATCCAACTCATCCTTCCCTCAGTGTCAAGAAGGGGAGCTTGCTAAGCATATATTCTGATGAATATTTATTCTTGGAAGTGAGAATTGTGGGGGGCCCAGAGGGAGAGAAGTGTAGCTAAAGCTTGGGAGCCCCTGCAGGATGAGCTGACTCTAGTGGGGAACCACGCTGCAGAGGAAGGACTGGATTTTTTATATTTTCTGAGATAGAGTCTTGCTCTATTACCCCAGGCTAGAGTGGCATGGCATCAGCCTACCTAACAGCAACCTAAAACTCCTGGGCTCAAGCCATCCTCTTGACCCAGCCTTCTGAGTAGAAAGACTGGATTTTTAAAACTATCACACATGGCTGAGTGTGGTGGCTTATGCCTATAATCCCAGCACTCTTGGGAGGCTGAGGAGGGTCAGAAGACCAGCCTGAGCAAGAGTGAGACCCCGTCTCTACTAAAATAGAAAAACTAGCCAGGCATCGTGGTGGGTACCTGTAGTCCTAGCTACTTGGGAGGCTGAGGCAGGAGGATCACATAAGCCCTGGTGTTTAAGATTGCTGTGAGCTATGACACCATGGCACCCTACTCAGGGTGACAGAGTGAGACTCTATCTCAAAAAATAAAAAAATGGTCATGCAGGACTCCAGAGGATGGGTGCTGCAGAAGGCCAGGCCTGCTCTATTCCTTGCAACTTGACCAGGATGTTTGAGGACAGACTATGAGCCAGATAGGAGTCACTACTAGAGCCATTCAGGCTGGGCCAGGCTTCAGGCTGATCTGACTCTTCATATCTGGCACTCACCTGTGACCTTGGCCTTGAAGGGGCTGCCCACGATGTGCTGGGGGCCACCATACTTGATGGCAATGAGGTAGTTGCCAGGGGCCATGGGAGTGTAAGTGACCACATGGCCCTCAGGACACTCCCGACAGTCCAGCTGCACTTTGGAGGGCCCGTCGATGGTGACAGACAAGGCCCCTGAGCCTGCATTCAGGGTGTTCACGATGAACTCTGATGACACACCTGGGGGAGCAGAGGTAGTAAGGCTATAGGCAGCAAAGGCGAGTAGCCCAGAGCAAGACTAGGCCCCTGGCTCCCCCAGGTAGCCTCAGCCAGGACTCTGAGGCAAGGCAATTCTTGGACTAGTGGCTGAACCGCCCCCAGCTCCCCAGCCCCAGGGACACTCACCTGTAGTGCCTCCCTCAAGCCCAGGACCATAGGCTGACACCAAGCCTGGGTCCCCAGCCTGGCTCTGCTCCCCAACACGGATCTTGAATGGACTTCCAGGGATATGGGCACCGTTGAACTTAACATCGATGGAGTGGACACCATTCTCATGGGGGATGAAGCGGATAGTATGCTTGTCTGTAGGAAGATGGTTGAGGGGTAAGCCTCCATCTTTCCCCTCCCCTTCCAGAAGGTCCTGGCATGGCAGAGGGTTGGCAGGCAGGGCCAGCTCACCACTGTCCAGCTCAGAGACGTAGCATTCTTCCACAGCTCCCGAGGGTGTGTGCACCCTGGCATCGATCACACCCCGTGCCCCATTCAGCTGCACCGCAAAGGACGCTGGCTGGTTCACCTTGAGCCCTGTCTCCTGCAAAGGCCATTGAGATGCTCAGACTCCTGGGAGGGCCAAGTCTGCAGTGGTCTTTGTGGGGCACCATGCTGTTCTCACAGTAAGCCCAGCCCAAAGGCTCCCACTGCTCTATCCCCAGCACAGCCTGGGCAGAGAGGAGCCAGAAACTGATCTGAGACCACTGTGTCCATGTGCTGTGCTGGGTATGTGTGTAATGAATGCGAGATGATGCCTCTTGCCCTGCTTTTACAACCCTGTGTAAAGCTGGCTGATGGGGGAGGGCCAGTGCCTGAAAGGGCTGTGTGGGCCATAGGCGCTCCCACGTGGAAAGGTGCATTGGGGGTGGGGAGCTGGCTTGGGAGGGCTTCTTGGAGGAGGCAGGCCAATGTAGAGGACCAGAGTGAGGGCTCTGAGGGAGGGGAAGGTGCGCCTGGTCTTGAAGTAGAGGAGGAGATCCACACCTGCTCTCTAGGGACTATGTGACCATTCTTTGGAGCAGCCGGAAAGGTTGGGCAAAGGGTCTGGGACAAGGCTAGCTTTGTGCCCCTTCCATAGCAGGCTCCTTTACTGTGCATCCCCCAAAACATTTATCCCTTGGTTTGGATGTATCATGGGATTTCCTGAGAGCCTGCCATGCCCGTGTTCCCTATGAGAAAGAAGGGAAGACACCATCTCTCTGGAAATCAGGAAGGCAGGTGGGCAGGCCTCAGGGCTCAGAGGGGACAGCTCCAGTCTGAACCATGTGCGTTCATTAACAGACAAGCCCTCTGGTCCTCTCTGCATAGCAGCTTACTCCTGTTTTGTATTGATTTTATACTCAGCCTCATTATTTTGGCACCTACTGTTAATTTGGAACTTTCAGAAAGAGGTGGAACAAAAAATGACAGATGGCAGTAAGGACAGGGAGAGAACTGTAAAAGGCGGAAACAAGGCATGGGAGTGCCTGAGTGAAAGGGCAAGCCCTCAGGGACAGAGTGCACTTTCCCCAAGGGCCCTGCCTTGTTCAGTACAGATAGTAGAGAGGGGGAACTTCTGCTGACTGGCCCTTCCAAGGTCACTGCTAAGTTTTTAGCCCCAGAAGGATGTGGTCTTGGGCTCCTGCCCATCTCTCAGGTGGCAGAGGGACCCTCCCCGGGCACACACACCTGGAGGCTGGTGACTGTGAGACGGCGAGCATCATCTGAGAGGGAGGCCACAGGCACCACAAAGGGGCTGTCTGGGATGTGTTCATCGTTGAACTTGATGGAGACCTCATAGTCACCTGGGGAGGGAGGCCAGTAAGCATAGCTCCTGGGATGGGGATCACTAGGGATGGAATCACCCCACACAGCCTTGTCCCTGGTGAGGCTCCCTGGTTAGGGCTCAGCTCTGGAGACAGATACACATTCCTAGGGGTGTGTGGAATGGAGATGGTGCAGAGGAGGGGGAGCTACCCTGGGGAAGGGAGTTCTGGAGCCCTACGGTCATCTGCCTAGCCAGTTAGCAAGAGCCCAGTTTGGATGGGCAGGCAGGCCCAGGTCCCCCCTAGCTGGACACTTTTACCTGGTTCCTGGACAACATAGGAGACACCACAGGAGCCATCTTTGCGGTCCTCAAATGCAATCTCTGCCTTGCTGGGACCCTCCACAGCAATGGACAGGCCTCCAGCACCTGCTTCTCGGGTCCAGATGCTGAACTCAGCTGCAGATAGGGAAATAGACAGGAGCTCTTCAGTACCATCCCTCCTCACGCAGGCTTCTCTGGCCCATCTCCCCTCCCGGACACCTATTCCTCACCTGGCACGCCTGCCACTCCACGCTCTAGCCCCGTGCCTCCAGCCCGTACCTTGTGGGCACCGCCTTCGCCCAGAGGCCCCACAGTGAATTGAAAGGGGCTGCCTGGCACATGCTGGCCACGGTACTTGACAGTGACTGTGTGAGGCCCCATCTCCTGGGGCACAAAGCGCACACTGTATGCACTGTCCTCTCCCTCCACAATTTCTGCGGCTTCCATCTTGCCTGATGGGCTGGTCACCTGTGCGGTCATGTCCTGAGAGCTGGCTTCACCTGCAGGGTTGGGAGTGTCAGGGTGACACTGGTACTTTTGCTGGTCCCAGACTTTCCTTCCGTCCTAAGTAAAACCCCCTTCTCTGCTCAGACCAGCCCTGGTCATCCACAGCAAGTCTGCCAGGGTTGAGGCCTGGCCAACTATGTCCTCCCCTCCTGCCTCCCTGAGAAGACCTGGGATCCTGCCTTTGCTGTCTCTGCTTACCCTCCTGCTGCCGGGTGATGCTGCCAAAGGAGCCCAGGCGTTCCCGGCCCAGGAAGTCCCCGAAGACAGCGGGAAAGGGGTCCCCGCCAACCTGGGTGGACTCTTCCACCCGCACCTCACGCTTGGTCTCCCCACCCCGAGTCTTGCTGATCTCTGTGCGCTCGGTACGGGTGTATGTGTGACTGCTGCGTGTAAAGGTACGCGTCAGACGCTCCTGGGCAGACACCATCTGGAACCAGTTCCCTGTGTGATCAAGGAAGCCAGGGTAAGTGGAGGAAGGTGAGGAGCAAGCGAGCAGGCCAGAGACCCCAGAGGTAGGCTGGGCCCAGGGCAGCTCTTACCGTACCCCACCCCAGCTCTTCCCCACACACCTGGGATCTTAAGGTTGAGGTCACAGGTGCTGCCGATGGTGGCGATGGAGGGAGCCTGTCTCCGCCGGGTGATGCTTTCCTTCATGCGGCCCTCACCAGTAACCTTCACAGTGAAGGGGCTTCCTGTAGGGGCAGAAAGTAGGGGGCAAGAGTCTTGGGCCACCAGCCTCCCAGCCTCCTGGCCTCCCCCACCCCAGCCTCAGCCCAGAGCCTTACCAGGTACGTGCTTGTCAGCAAACTTGATGTTGATGATGTAGGTGCCAGGCTCAGTAGGGCAGTAGGTGACTTTGCATGTGCCATCCTCCATGTCCTCACAGTTGATGTCCACCTTGCTAGGGCCTTCGATACTCAGCCCCAAGCCCCCATAACCTGGGGAGAGTGAGGGACACATCTCCCTCAGTCCTATGCCACCCAAGCCACTCTGTTCTCTCCTCCCCAAACTGCAGGCTGTGCCAAGAATGCGCCTCTGATGTGTATGGTAACTACAAACAAAAATGCCTCAGTAGGGGATTGGGGGTGGGTCTAGACACCATCCTGGAGGGCTACAGGACAGGCTGTCTGAAAAATTCCCTGCGGGAGGCCTCCTCGATTCCAGTGAGCAAGGGAAAGACAGCAACTCATTTCCTTAAAAGTGAAAGAACTGACATGGGGATATTCACTTTCCCCCAAATGGGCCCCAGAACATGAATCCCAACAGAGATGGGGCCAGAAATTTCAGGGAGGAGGGTATGGCCAAGGGGAGCTGAGCAGGAAAGAAGTTCAAGTGGCCACTAGATGAGCCAGGGCAGTGGAGGTCTCTGGGGCAAGAAGTACCTGCATTACGAGTATCCACGATGAATTCTGCCACCTGGAACGTGTGCCCCTCAGACAGGCCCTTGCCCCAGACCCGCACCTTGCTGGCATCCCCGATCTCAGATGGCCCCACCAGAATCTTGAAGGGGCTGTTTGTGACATGCTTGCCACTCTTCCGCACGCTCACCACGTGCTCTCCAACCTCCTTGGGGGTGAAGGAGATCCCTGTGGAGAGGGGTCATCAGGTAGGCAGAGTATCCCTTTGAGCACCCCCTGCCCAGGCCTGAAAGGCCTCTGCTTACCAATGTGACGGTTGGGGAGGCGCTTCAGCAGGCAGGGCTCCTCATTGCCTGAGGGAGCACGGATGCTGGCAGTCAGCTGGCTTAAATCACTCTCAGTGATCTTCAGTGACACATCCGTAGAGGTGCCCACATTCAGCTGTGAGGTCCTCATGGAGTCATCTCCTAGAGAGGGAGTTGAGGGGTCAGGCAGGCTCAGGAAAAATCCCGAGCAGCCCCTGTGGGACTCAATGGAGACTGGGGACCACCCCCAGGCACACAGAGGCCTGACCCCCAGACAAGCATAGTCTGTATTCACACAACTGCCAGAGATGACTCCGGGCCTGCACCCCAACTCACTGTGCTGCCTCAGTCCTTATGGGCTAAGTTCCTAAAGAAATCTTTGTGTATTTTAATCCTGATGCACACAGTGGAAACAAACACTGGACTGGATGACAAAGACCCTCCCTGGCTGTGTTGCTTACCCTCAGTGGGACAGGTTTCCTCATCTATAAAAAGGATTATTAATACTCTGACTTCTCAAGAGTCACTTCAAAGACTAAATGAGATCATGCCTCTGAAGCACTGGGTGGGGTTGGGGATTAGATATTTCTTAGCTACTGTGGAGGATTACATTCCTTATATTTATCTAAAAATGGCCTACTCCATCTCGCAGGGGCTCTGCCTTAATGAATAGGCTGGGCTTACACATTGTCATACACCGGGTGTGCGTGTCTTTTATAGCCTGCATGTGCCCACACAGCCACCTCACCTGTGATCTTGGCTGTGAAGGGGCTCCCCGGGATATGCTTGTCGTCAAAGCGCACAATGATGCTATAGTCTCCCGGTGCTGTGGGCAGGTAGGACACAGTGCAGGTGCCATCCTTGTTGTCCTTGCAGGTGATTTCTGCCTTGGATGGACCCTCCACAGCCAGCGACAGACCCCCTATAAGTGGAGGTGGGGCTGAGATCATAAGTCCTGCCCTTGCCCCTGCACCTGGTTAGACCCTACCCCAGCCCCCAGTAACCCTCACCTTCCCCAGCATCCTTGGTGACAATGGTGAAGGTGGCTGGCTTGTTGACCATGCCATGGCTCAGGCCTGGCCCGTAGGCACTGACATGGCGGCTGTTGATGGCATCCACGTAGAACTGCAGGGGACTCCCTGGGGTAGAGAGGGGGGCTGGGTCAGCAGAGGGACAGGGGTTGCCTGAGCCCACCTTTCCTCCCTGATGAGCCCTACATCTCTGCATGGGGACCTGAATCATGGAAAGAAATCTGTCCCCCACCAGACAGACGCCTCCCCAGGGCCTCCCATGGCATCTGCACATAGCAGATGCTTAATAAACATATATTGAAAGTAGGCAGGCACACTGGAACCCTGTTGGCTCCTCTCACTACAACCCAAGCCCAGCCCTGCCCCCAGCTCACCAGGGATGTGGTTGCCATCGTACTTGATTCCCATCTGGTGCAGGCCTTTCTCAGTGGGCGCGTACCTCACCGTGATGGTGCCATCCTTGTTGTCTGTAATGTTGGGCCTTGCAGTCTTCCCAGAGGGCATCCGCACCTCCCCTGAAGGACAGACACAGTTGGGGGGGGCAGTTTCTCCTACGATAATCTTCCTGCTGCACCAGGCCTGCTCCTGTGTGGTTCTGCTGTCACCCCAGAGGCCAGGCACAGGAGACAACCTGGAGCAGCAGCAGGAACCCTGAACTGGGAGACAGATGGCTTTAGCCTGAGTTCCAGCTCTGCTCAACTTGCTGTGTGACCATGGGTACCTTGCTTCCTCTCTCTGGGCCCCAGTTTTCTTCTCTAAAGGGCCTTGATGGGATCTCTGCCCTCTGAGTCCCTGTGCCTGGGGTCCCCCCAGGAAAGTACCTGTGAGCTCCCCTTTCTGCACAGCAAAGGGGATGACCAAGTTGAAGGGCCTCAGCATGGACTCCATTGGCTCCACGGGGACCACTGGCTCCTCTGTGGCCTATGGCAGGTGAGAAGGAATAGTCATTGGCTGGGGAAGGCTTGGGAGCTTGGCCTGAGCCACGACCAAGAGAGAGTGAGGAAAGAACAAGATGGTTAAGGGTGAAATCAGATTGGCAGGAGAGGTATGGCAGCTGCAAGAGAAGGTGTGCTGTGCCCAGGAGTCATCCTGCCCAACCTTGCTCCAGCCTGCTCCCCAAGGGGCCCCCAAACCATGCCCCAGCCTGGCTGCAGAGAAGTAGAAAGAAGAAACGAAGGGAGGCATGGAGGAGGAGGGCAAGGTCTGCCCAGTGGAGGGGGAAGTACCCAGTGTGTGGGGCAGATGCCAGGCCGGGGAGGGGCGTAGGGCTGACGTAGCTGCGGCACTTCAGAGGACTCCTCCATGGGGGACAGGGGGTCACACGCCTGGGGAGGCAAGGCATGGGGGAACACAAGGTGTAGCAGGCTCATGGGACTAGGAGCTGACTCAGAATGGCCTGGAGACCTGAAATCCTGGGTGCACATCTCAGGTGCCTGACCCCTTAAAGGGCTTCATCCTTCTGTGGGTGTACCGCTGGGGAGTTAGAGCCAGGGATAGTAGGTCTGAGGGTCAGAGAGGAACACGCCAATTCCCTCTACAGAGCTGATGCCACCAAGCTGGAGGTAGGACCATGCTCAACTCCTACTTGGGGAGGCTATGGGAAAGCAAAGGCTTGACTGTAGAGCAGTGTGACCTCAGGCTCTGTCTAATAGGCTTGGGATTCCTAAAGGACAGCTTCCGGGATCCCTGCTGCTGCTAAAGTGGGGGTTCCACCTCCCTTAACCATCCATTCCTGCCATGGCCTTGGAACTTACCAGCACATGGAAGGGGCTGTTGGGGATGTGCTCGCCTCCAAAGCGGATGGTGATGACGTACTTGCCCGGCTCGGGTGCTGTGTAGTAAATGTCAAAGGTACCATCATGGTTCTCAACCACATCCACGTCGAGCTCTGCCCCGTCCGGTGTGGATACTGTGCAGGTCACCTTCCCCTCGCCAGCTGCCTTGGCATCCACAGTTATCACCGTCTCCTGCCCAATCTGGATGCGGGGGCCCAGGCAGGCACCTGTCATGTAGAAGAACCTGCTCAGGGGGCTGCAGGAGCTGGGCCCAGCCCTCTCGCTCCCAGCTGTCCTCACCACCCCAACACATAGCAAAAGAGGAAAGGCACTCACCCAGGCCATGGCCTCCAATGGACACTGGAAAGAGAGAAGAGTGTGAATCTGGGCCGTGCTCAGGATAGGGGTTGAGGGGGTGGCAGGGCAAGGAAAGTAGGATACCCACCTGTGACAAGGCACTTGCTGGCATCCCCAGTGGGCAGAGCATGAATGCGGAATGGTGAGTAAGGGATCTCATCCCCACCATACTTGATGGTGATGGTGTACCGGCCACTCATGTCTGGCAAGTAGGACACAGTGTATGTGCCGTCCCCGTTGTCTCGAATATTGGCCTTCTTGGGTTTACCCTCAGGATCCTGGGGGAGAAGCAGATGTCAAGACCTGCTGTGCCCTGAGCCTGACCTAGGGGGTAGGCTGTGCGAGGACTCACCAGGATCTGGACAGTGAGCAGCCCTTCTCCAGCATCCCGCGCATCGATGGTGAACTCCACAGGCAGGCTGGCAGGGATGCCAGAGGCGTTGAGGCCAGGGCCACTGGCCCGCACCTTGCTTGCATCATGGGCTGGAAGCACCTTGATCTTGAAAGGGCTTGAGGGGCAGAAGGGGTAGATAGTTGGCCAAGGGTCAAGATGGAGGGTTCCATCTCATTCTGGGCCTGGAGCTCTCCCCAGACATAGACAGGAAGAGTGACTCTGTGGGGCAGAGACCAGTTCCTGGAGGGAACACATCTTGAGTTGAGGGGGAGGACCACTCCCTCTCCTGTGAGCCCCTGACAGAGATTGAGCACTTCTCTATTCCCCAGAGCAGCGCTGTGGTTTGTTTAACCACATTTATTCTTGTTTATGTTTCCTCTCGGGGTCCAGGGGAATGCCCTTGCCCAAGCCTCCTATACTTTTCCTAAGGTGGTGATTTTGTTATAAAAGCCCCTGGGGCTGTGAGGCCTCCAGAGCAAAGAGCCCTGGAGAAGAGCAGCATGGGGCAGCAGGAAGGATCGAGGCCAGACAGGTTAAGGGGGGACTCTCCCTTGGGCTCAGGAGTGGCCCTGCAGGTGCCACCCCAGTAGGAGCACCTTAGAGCTCAGCCACAGCAAGGGAACCCAAGGCAGGTCCTCACCTGCGTGGCACCTCCTGGTCAGCGTACTTGACAGCAACTGTGTAGGGCCCATCAGTGGCTGGGGTGTAATGGACAGTGTGGGTGCCACCCCCATTGTCCCGCACCTCCACAGGCTCAGCTACACCTAGGCAGGGGGAGGAGGGTCAGCAGAGTCCCTGGCACTCTGCCTGCCCCTCTCCACCCTGCCCCAGACATTCTGTACCTGTGGGGCCCAGCACAGCCACTTGCAGGGGGGCCCGGCCAGCTTGACTGCAGTCCACTGTGAAGGTCTGGGGTACACGCGCCCTGACACCAGCTCCCAGCCCTGGCCCTGAGCACTTCACCTTTCCAGGGTCCACCACATCCTTCACTGGCACCCGGAATGGGCTCCCTGCAAGGAGGACATCGGTGTACCCCCCTGCCCCAGAAGGTCTCCCTGATCCTGAGATACCACAGAGGAGGAGGCCGTCCCTTTCTTTGAAATGCCCACAGGAAGGCCAGAGCTACATGTGAAAATGCTTAGGAATTTGCTAAGAAACATAAACAAGAATAAATTGATGGCAGAATGACACTGGGCAAACCTCACTCGTTTGGACCACAGGCCTGGATGAAGGCCTCTCTAATTAATAAGCTGTTAAAAATGAACTACTTTTTTAAAAGTAAAATATATTCCTGACGTTGTGGCTGATACAAGTAAAAAAATGTGAAATTAGACAAGGGAAAAAAATGTCCAGTCAGAGCAGGCTCGAGTCATGCCATATTTGAAGGCACGTCATGTCCAAGCATCATGGCCCGCAGGAAGGCAGAGGAGTTCTCTGCAGACAATGCGAGTGAGGCTGTCCTCACTGAGCTCAAGGCAGCCTGGACTGTGTCTGACTGACTGGACCCACAGTGAGCAGCAGGTCTGAGTACCCAAGGCCTGGCACTCCAGGCTTCTGGAAATATACCAGGGACTGGCATACCACACCATGAGCACTGGCCACCCACCTCCTCCATATCCTCCCTGCACCTGGGTTCCTGACTCAACCTCCTCTAGGGGGTCTTCATGATCAATTTCTAGTGTCTCTCTGAGGAAGCCTGAGTCTTGCCGACCTCCCTTACCCTCCCTGTTCCCTCCACCCTCTCTGCACACCTGGGATGGGCCGTCCCCCAAAGGTGATGTTGACGTCATAGTCTCCAGGGGTGAAGGGGATGTATTCCACTGTGCAGCTGCCATCCTTATTGTCCTTGCAAGACATCTTGGCTTCTGAGGGGCCCTCAATGGCTAGGCCTAGGCCGCCTGTGCCAGCTCCCCTGCAAGATGACACCCACCATTAGCTCTGCTAGGACTAGTCAGCAAGGTCAGAGGGGCAGCTGAACACAGAGACAGGGAGGAAAAGGAGGACAGGGCCAGCTAAGGAGGGACAAGCTGCAAGGGCTGAGCTGGGATCATGGGGGACAGTATGTTCTTGTATCACCCCCAAAGAGTATGGGGGCTAAGGCACAGACAGAAGGACAAACAGGGAGGCCTGGGGGTGGCTGGGAGCAGGGTGACCACAGCCTCAGGTCAAGGTTAGGAAAGGGGAGGATACCTGGTCTCCACAGTGAAGCGGTTGGACTTATTGACCAAGCCACCCTCCAGGCCAGGCCCAAAGGCCCGCACGCGGGTGGGGTCACAGCCCTCAGTCACGCCCACTCGGAAGGGGCTCTTGGGCACAGCGACCTCGTCATACAGCACCTCCACCAAGTGCATGCCTAAAAGCCGGCCACAAGGAGTCAGTTGGGGTTGTGGTGTTCACCTCCCCTGCCCACTCGAGAATCTGTCATCAGATCCTGGCCGTGACCCTCAGCCAGGCCCCTCACCTTCTTCGTAGGCAGTGTACTGCACTCGGTAGGTGCCATCCCCATTGTCTGTCACATAGGTGTCTGTCTTGGCGCCCGAGGGGTTGAGCACACGAGCAGTCACGTGGTTGCCACCTGTGGCTGTTAGCGATCTCGCATCCACAGTGAACTCAGTGGTCACCTCCCGCAGGACACCTGGATCCCAGGAAGGGCATGCTCAGCGTGGGCTGAGGGCAACCTCCACACAGGCACTCCCTTCCTTTCCCTCCCTACTCCCAGGCTGTCCTCCAGACAGAGCCCAGGCCCCTCTCTGCTCCCTTGCAAGCTCTAGGCCACTTCACATAGCCTCATTTAGCTCCTTCACATATCAGTCACCCCCAGGGCTGAGGGCCAGGTGGGTCTTGTGTCCTCTGCCCTGCCCCAGCAGATGGCCCATTTACATTTACTGTCTTCTGACTCTTGTCACCCTCGACCCCAAAGCTTTCCCTCTGCACCCTTTAAAGCAGGGTTCTTAGCCTTTTTGGATCAAGGACCCTGGGAACTTATGAGAGAGAGGGTCTCCCCAGAAAAATGCCCAAGAGCAGATGCGATTTTGCCATGAGAGAAGGGCCAGTTTCTGAGCCAGCTCTTCCCCTTGGCACCTTCTCTGGGGTGTCTGAGTTCATAAAGACTCTGGGGTTGCCCTGAAGGCCCATCCTTCACCCCGGTTGCTCCTCCAGCATTCAGCTCTGCTTCCCTCACTCATAACTGGACTCCTCCTGGATTTCTCTGTCCACTCACCATGTGGCTCCACACCAGGCCCTGAGACCTTGACACCACTGGTATCTACAGCAGGCTGCACATGGACGCGGGTGGGGAATTTGGGCACAGGGTGTCCGCCATACTTGATGGTAATGGTGTAGGTGCCAGGAAAGGCAGGGCTGTAGGTGATGTGGTAGGTGCCATCAGCATTGTTCTGGATCAGCACCTCGGCCTTGACACCGGCATCCGACAGGATTTCGATGGTCAGCTCAGCATCACCCGCCTCTGAGCAGTCCACAGTGAAGGTAGCTGCCTCACCAGCCTTGCCACGCTCTAGGCCTGGCCCACTGGCCCGTACCTTGCTTGGATCGAACACAGGCCGGATGGTGGCCTTGAAGGGGGAGCCGGGGATGTGGGCTTCGGCAAACAGGATGTTGATGGTGTACTCGCCCGGCTCCGTGGGCAGGTAGCTGACAGCACATGAGCCATCCCCATTGTCCTGGCACTCAATCTTGGCCTCGCAGGGGCCCTCCACAGTTAGCCCCAGGCCACCTGTGCCAGCCCCCTTGGTGTCAATGGAGAATGGCGCAGGGCTGCCTACCAGTCCACCCTTCAGACCAGGGCCATAAGCACAGACCTAGGGGGAGGAGCAGGTGTGTGGGTTTCCTGCACCCAGCCTCTCCCAAGCCTCCCCACCCAGCTAAGCACCTTCACCTGTAGCTGCTGCTATGGACTGAGTACTTGCAACAATTCTAGGTGAGGGTGTCAAGGCAGAAAGATTAAGTAATCTGTCCTAGTGGGGCCTGGGATTCATGCTCAGATCTGATTCCAGGGGCAGGCTCTTAATACCAAGCTGTGTCCAAGGCAAGTCCTGTGGTAGGGCTGGCCTTGGCCCTGGGTCCTTGACCACCCCAGGCACATAAGTCCCTCCGGCCTCTGCCCCTACAACTCATCCATCTTCCCTATAAGCCTCTGACTCCCAGCTCCCACAGCACCTATCTCCTCACCTTGGTGGGGTCAGGGGGCAGGACACCCTCCACAGCAAAGGGGCTGCCAGGCACTGGGTGACCATCATAGGTGATGTCCACTTTGTAGGGCCCCTCCTCAGGGGGCATGTAGCGCACAGCCTGGGCTTCAGCTCCACCCCCAGGCTCCAGTTTGCAGGGGATGGGTCGTCGAGAGGGTGAGGTCATCCGCACGTCCAGGTGGCCCTGACCACCAGCCCCTCGCGTGTTCACAGAGAATGCTTGTTCCTGCCCCACAGCTACCTCTGTGTGGAGGGCAAGAGACACTATGAGCTGAGACTCTGACCCACCCCACCCTAACACCCCTCACTCCCAGGGTGGCACTTGCCCCACTTACTGCTGTTGAGGCCTTGAACTTTAACTTTGCTGAGGTCCAGTGGGGGTGCCACATTCACCACAAAGGGGCTTTTGGGGACAGGGTCCCCACCGTAGGTCACTGTCACTGCCATGTTACCCTATTGGGCACAACAGAAGGCCAGAACTGGGTATAAGACACAGCCAGACAACATCTGCCTGGCTAACATGGACTCTGAAACTCAGAAATCCACAGCAAGAGAGAGGATGGAGGCAGGGACAGGGCCAAGGACCCAGAATTGGTCCTTCGGGATGGAAAAAAAGGCAGGTGTGAGGGGGGCAGAGCACACCTGCTGGACCGCAGTATACTTGACAGTGTAGGAGTAGTCGTGGTTGTCTATGATTTCAAAGTCCCGCACAGCCTCGCCCTTTGCTGCCCCTGCAAACTGCACGTCCAGCTTGGCCTTGCCAGCTCCCTTGGTCAGCACTGTGAAGTGAGTGGGCTTCCCAACCTCCACACCTGGGGAACCCCCAGAGACAGCAATGAGGGCCTGCCAGCCACCAAGCGCCCACCTAAGGCCAGCCCTGGTACCTGCCCAGACACCTACCTGTGCGGTTCAGCCCAGGGCCCTCAGCCTTGACCTTGCTGGCATCATGGGATGGGTCCACCTTGATGTGGAAGGGGCTGGCAGGGATCTCCTAGACATGTAAAGGCTCAGTCAGGGCTCTCCAGGATCACACCCATGTTGTGGGCTAGGTGTTATGTCAAGATGCCCCCAGGGGACCTGCTGCAGACAAGGGCAGCCTCCCAGAGAGCTCCCTCTGCTTTCTCTGAGGCACCCTACCCACACACAGAAAGTGCTCCATCTGTCTGTGGAATTGTACCTCTAGCTGCCTGCTTAGACCTGGGAGGGGCAGATTGCCATGACTACAAAAAGCCAAGAGGCTGGGGTACCTGGTTGGCAAACAGCACCATGATGGTATAGCGGCCAGCCCCTGGAGGGGTGTACTTGACCGTGAAGGTGTCATTGTCATTCTTGATGATGTCAAAGTCGATGTCAGCCTCCGCAGGGCCTACCACGCCGGGGGCACACTTGATGCCAATGCTCACATCACCTGAGAGAGGGAGGTACTGGGCCATGAGTGAGGGCTCAACACCCCCCCAACCTGGGGCCCTGCCCCTGCTCCTCCAGTGGCTGCCCACCTTGTCCTGCCTCGCTGCAGTCCACTGTGAAGTAGGTGGGCTCATTGGCTTTGAGGCCGGTCTTCTCCACGCCGGGGCCATACACCTTCACCCTCTCAGGGTGACTGCCTTCACCCACATTCACCTGCGGGGAAGGATGATGCTCAGCTTGGGCCCTGCCTCAGGGCTCCTCCCCCTTCCAGCACTACCTGCCCCAGCCTCAGCTGGACTTGAGGCAGGGAGGACTGGCAGTGTCATGGGATCAGGGACAGCCAACATCTTCTGTATGGGGTCTGCCTTCCCTCTGGGACCCCTGGTAGTGGGCATAGGGCAAGCTTGGAAGACGCACCCGGAAGGGGCTCTTGGGCACATTGACGCCTCCCCAGGAGATGATGATGGTGTGCTTAATGGGCTTGGTGGGCACATAGGAGCAGCGGAAGGTGCCGTCTCCATTGGGGATCACCTTGATGTCGATGGGACAGCCATCTGCGTCCTGTAGGCATCAACCAATTAAAGTTCCCAGCTGTGCCCTCTTCAGAGCACCCTCTGCTGGCCTCAGTCCACTCGGCACCAGCCCCTCCCATCACCGACCCACACCTACCCCCACTTAAGTCGGGCCATACCAGCCTAGTGCCATGTGCCCTGGTGGCTAGCTCCCACCTGTGTGGCCTGCTCTCCCAGACTAGATTTCCTCATCTCTGAAAGGCCTTGGTCAGGGAGAGGCTGGGTTAAATCAATGTTCATAAAGTTGAATGATGAGCTTTTTAAGAAAGAATCATCTTCTTGGACCCTCAAGAACATGTTCATTAACCTCTAGTGGTCAATGGATGCCAGCTTGAGAAACTGACTTGGAAAATCAGTCTTAGAGAATGAAATCATCTTTCAATTGCAAATTATCAATATAAAAAAGAGTTTGGGGTAAAATACATTTTTAAGATTATTATCAGTAAGAAAATACAAAATTTAAAATTTCCATGGCACATTATGAAGCCATGAGAACCAGTCCTGCCTAACATCTATAATGCTGCAACTACCTTCCTGGAGGCTCCTGTCTTTAGCCTGGCCTTACCCTCCCAGGATCCCTGCCTTGAGTGGTGAGAGAGTGGGCCATGTCCCACCTGGGCATAGAGCTTCAGGTCTCCCTTGCCAGCTGCACGGGCATCAATAGTGAACTCCGCAGGCTTGTCCACAATGCAGCCAGTAGGCTCCAGGCCAGGTCCAAAGGCCTTCACCTGCGTAGGGGCAAGAGTGGCAGGCAGGGTTTGTTATGGGAGGAGGCCAGTGCACCCCATACCTGGGCCAACATGTAGGAGCTGGGACCATACCCTGTCTGGGAAGCAGTCAGGTGGGGCTGGCTGGATGTGGGCAATGAAGGGTGAGTCACGGATGTCCTCATCATCACAGATGACATGCACGGCATATTCCCCAGGCTCCGTGGGCCAGTATCTCACATCACAGGAGCCATCCCCCTTGTCATCACACTCAATCTTGGCCTGTGAGGGCCCCTCAATGGAGAAGCCTACACAAGGTGAGAGGGTCAGGACCATAAGAGGCAGCTTGGACACTCAGGCAGGTCCTCATCTTCCTCACGACCCCTCCCAGCTATCCCCTTTTTGCCACCTCCCTTATAGATCATCATCCTGACACTCCCCAGTCACTCCCGTCCTTTCACTATATCCCTCCCCCCACAGCATTCCCACTTTTGGCCACCCAGCACTCACCTAGTGTCCCCACCTCTGTGCCAATGGCTTCCACCACGAAGTCAGCTGACTTGCCCACCTGGCCAGTCTCCAAACCGGGACCCCAGGCCCGCACCTTCTGCACTCCTGCCTCTGGGCTCACCTGGACTTCAAAAGGACTGGACAGAGAGGGAGCTAGTGTCCATGCCAGGAAGTGTCCCTGAAGAGACACTCCCTCACCTCTTCCAGTTCCCATCAAGTCCCCCTCCCTTCCCATGATGGCCTAGACAGCAGGGTGTAGGGGGACACATGGCATTTACCTGCGAGGGATAGCATAGCCGCCCCATGTGATGGTCACTACATACTTCCCAGGTACCACAGGGTAGTACTCGCACTCAAACACACCGTCCCCAGCCTCTTGCACCTTCACTGGCTCCTCTGTGCCCTCTGAGGAGATGGGGGCAGGGAGAGGTGGTGGATCAACATTCTGTAAGCCCATCTCCTCAATCCCCTCAAGGATCCCAGGGAGCCAGGCCCAGCCTGAGGAAAGTGCTATTAGCGGGCAGTGTGCATAACAGCTCAGGGTAGCACTTAGGGCTGAGAGAATCGTTCCCAACTTATAGACTGAGAAACTGAGGCAGAGCAGAGACAGTGTATCTAGGATCTACGGTGCCTCTGGTCAGAACCGCCAGCCACGTATCTCCCTGCTACTCTCACCTCCTTCATGGGCACTGATACTCACTTGGTCCCTTGACTGTGACCTTGAGTTCCCCACTGCCAGCACCCTTGGTGAACACCTTGAAATCAGCCACCTCTTTTACACGGACACCCTTGGGCTGCAGGCCTCGCCCCGAGGCACGGCAGGCATTGGGGTTACAGGCTGGGAAAAAAGAAGAAAGGAGGTTGGGGATATTGAGGGGCCTGGACAGAGCATCAGCCCCTCGTCACTCATCCCCTACATTGCTGCTTAGTCCTTCTACCCTCTCAAGGTACAAGACCATGGCCTCCAGCCTTGCTCTGAGGCCCTTGTGCCCCCAACACAACTGGGGCTACTGGGTGCCATGCTGGATGGAGAGCTAACCATAGGCTCTGGATCAGACAAGTTACAAGAAACCCTTCTTGTTGGGGCTCTCAGAGCCAGTGCCACTGGGGCAAGGCATGGCACAACTGGGCTGAGAAGGGGCTCAGAGAGATAGGAAAGGGCCCTTTAGCTACTTCCAAGGTCATCTACTTAGAATTATCTGGGCTTTCTCAGAGCCACCAAAGCAACCACAGGATATAAGTCATGCCACAAAACATTTAGCAATGCCCTGGAACAATAGCTATACATATAACATGAAGCCCGCCATTGAACAGCAATGGATGGAAATCAGCCTGTCACAGAACATGGCCAGTGATGAGTCCTGACCTTACCATGGAATACAGGCCAAAGAATGAGAATCTCAGCCTGCCATGGAACCCATAAAATGACATGGAACCCACAGGGTGCTACAAAACAGGCAACAACACATAATCTAGGACTACCATGAACATAGGTGATGGCACCACCCAGGGCATGCCACAGAACTCAGGCGATGGCACAGAACCCACGTTTTATCACAGAAATCATCAGGCAAGTGGCAAAGAAACAAGATTTGCCACAGAACACAGACAGTGGCATAGAACATGGAGCTTGCCAGAGAATGCCACAGAATAGGGGCAATTTCACATGGCCTGGGCCATGCTACCCAGTGCAGGAGAGGTCAGTCAGCTATGGCCATGCCTGGCGCCACCTCCACTGGAGGAGGTGGCAGTGTGGAGCTGCTGGTGGATGACAGCACTGAGTGCAGGTCAGAACAAGTGGGGGAGTTATCCCTGGGGGCAAGGACTGAGGGGGTCACCACATATGCTCCCACCCAGGAGGTCCTGTCACTTCCTTTCAACCCTCCCAAGGTGGCACCTATTTTGGTACCTTTCACTGTGGTCTCCTGATCCTTCCCTTATGGGTTCTGGCCACCTCAGGAGTGTTAGTGGGGGTGATAAGCAGGAGCTCTCTCCAGAGTCCTCCCCCATTGCCACTGTTCCTTTTGCCCACTGCAGCATCAGCCAGCTGCATTCCCCAGTGGAGTTAAGGCTTCATTTCCCATCAATCCTCAGACCCAGAATTTGAGGGCAATTCTCTCTACACCCTGGCTTTGGGGAAGACTATTGTGGGGCTCTGTGAAGGGCTCTTACCTTCCGACACATGGACAGGGAAAGGACTACGGGTGATGGGGGCACCAGCAAAGGCCACATGCACTGTGTGTGGCCCCTCCATCACAGGCCTGTATGTGCAGCGGAATGTGCTATCACCCTTGTCCTCCAGGGCCACCTCCACTGTGTCCCGCCGGCCCTGTGGGTCCACAATCACCACAGCAACATCACCGGTGCCAGCCCCTGTCACAGACAAAGTCCATCAGTGCCCACTCTGGACACACACACCTACTCAAGGCTTTCTCATCCTGAGACCACCCCTTTCTGGGTAGAACTTCTGCCCCAGCCCCCCCAACCACACCCACTCACAGTCAGAAGCTGCCCACCTGACACACACCGGGGCCCATCCTTACCCGCAGTGTAGATGTCAAAGTAGGTAGGTTTGTTGGCCACATTCCCCACAGGTTCCAGGCCAGGGCCACGGGCTGACACCTTGTTGGCATCCCCCAGGGCCATGCCCACATTCACCTGGAAGGGGCTGCGTTCAATGTTCTGGCCCGCAAAGAGCACGGTCACCTAGAGTCAGAGGTCAAAGGTTAGCTTCTAGGGGTGAGCAGTTCTGAGGGGGTGGAGGGGCACAGAAGAGCCAAGGAGGTGAGAGGTGGACGGTTGATATACCATGCAGGGCTGAGGTATAGGCTGAGAGAGGGGTCCTCTCAGCCAGAGCTGAGGTTATGTATAGCAGGAAGGCATGGACTCTGCAGGGAGGTACCTTGTGTAGCCCAGCAACCTTGGGCACGTAGGAGACAGCATAGGTGCGGTTCTTGTCATTGTTGGGAACTACCTTGGCCTGTTGAGAAGGGAAAAGATTGGAATCCCTGGTGGGTGCAGCTTCTCTTGACCCCACAGTGCCCTATAGTGACACCTTCTGCAGACTCTACTACACACAGTTTCTCTGGCAGCCATGTCCAGGCCATTCCTGTTGTTGTCCCCATGCTTTCTGGTTCCAACCCCAAGAAAATTCCTTTGTCCCCAGCAGCCTCCCCTACCTCCTCTGTGTGGCCCTCAGGATCCTCGATGTAGACCAGAACCTCGCCCACACCAGCATCCACTGTCTGCACGGTGAAATGGGCAGGCTGCAGCACAGTGTTGCCATGGGGCTCGATGCCTGAGGGGCAGGAGCAGAGCCCAGGTTACTCAGGAGATCCCACACATACCAGCTGCCCAGGCAGGGCCTCCAGGGGGACACATACCCGGCCCATAGGCGATGGCTTTCTTGGGATTCAGCTGCTTGGAGCGAATAGGAGCACCAGGTTTGAGTTTGGCCTTGGGGAACTGGGACAGGTAGGTCATGACTGAATGCTCATCCACATTGGGGTCCACAATCTCCTCAGGGGCAATAACCTGTCACAGAAAGGAACAAGTTATCCAGTGCTCCTGTTGCCCAGCAGGCTCCTCTTCTCACCTGCATGCTACCAGGTGTCCTAGCAGCCCCACCTCTTCCCTTGCCTCAGTGCCCACCCACCCCCTCTGGTGTACCTGGGGTACCCCAAGCCAGTCATCGGCCTGCTGCATGGCCTCCCGGGCATTCTCCACAGGCTGGTTAGGGTCCCAGGCTTCCCAGTCTGGACAGAGACCTGGAGAGATGGTAGGAGAGGACAGTGAGGGGGAACCAAACAGCCAGAATGCAGGGCATTTGTTCATGCAACACCCTGGTAGGCTGTGGCTTCACCCCCCTTTCACCCAGCTGTAGGCCCCTTACCAGCCAGATTCCCACTGGCCCCATCGGCAGGGATGCCCATCACCATTTAGAGGCACGGCAGCCCTGCCTGCCACCAACAATGGGGCCTTTCTGCCCCAGCTGACGCAGCCTGGCACCAGCCCTGCCAGCAGCCTCCTGCCTGCCCAGGCTCCAGCAGAAATCCTGAACACCAACTCCCAAGAGGACCCCCCCCTTTCAGACCTGTCTTGCCTCATTCTAGTAGCCTCAGGAGTGGTGGAGGAGATTAGAGTCCCTATGCCACATTTTTCTTGGACCCACCCTCTAGAAGGTCTCCTCACAGCTTCCCAGCAGTCCTGAATCTCTAAGCACATCCCACATCAGCCTCAGGGCACAAAACTCCCTCTCCCTTCCTAAATGCCCCCTGGGGAAACTGAGGCATTGAAGGGCTTATTAGGAGTTATCCTTCAAGGCCATCAGCAGCCCAGCCCTCCTCATAGGAAGATTACAGAGGAAGACCCAAATCACTCCTGTGAAGAGGTGCAGGGTGAGGGGGTGCTTGGTCCAGGCCAGAATGGAGAAGGAGGACTACGTGCATTTGCGAGGAGGGGGCGGCTCACAGGCTGGAATCCCTGACTGGCTGGAACAGCTGAGCTCACTGCTGGCAGCCACACCAGCTGTGGGCAATGGCTCAGCAGCTGGGAATGTTTCCCAGGCAGTCGTGCCCCCGCCTCCCACCCCCTGCTCCCAGGCTGACCCCAGGACAGTGAAGGATTTTCCCAATGGGCTGTGGCTCCCTGGAGGCAAGGCTGACCCTAGGCTGGAAGACTTGTCTTCTCAGGAGAAGAGAGTCTGAAAGGAAGTTATCCATGGGTAGCCCTAGGCAGAGCTCTAGCCTAGGGGTAGGGCTCTAGCTGCAGATCCTCAGTTTTCTCATGGGCCCTGAGCTGCCCCACCTGGCTAGGTCAGGGCTCACATCAAGAAGGGGCAGGGCTGGGTCACCTGCCATCAAGCAATGCTGCACTGGCCTCAACCTATACCACCCTCGGCCTCAGCTCCTCAAATCTGTCCCAGCGTCTCAAAGAATAGCCTTCTCTGTGTCTAACTCCTGGCCTTTTTGCTACAAGTCCCACCATGGTGCTTCTCACTCAGCTCAGTGGGAATAGCGCCATGTCCCAAAGCAGAAAGCTCATGCAGCAGGGAGTCAAGGCCCTGGGCTCTAGGTGCAGCACAGATGAGCTGCGCGTCACTGGCCCTTGTCTACAAAATGAAGGGTTTTAAATCTGCCTGGCAGAATCTAGCACACCCTCAGGAGGGGCTGACTCCAGCAGTGATTCTTATTTTTTTGTTGTTGTTTTTTTTTTAAATGCATAGTATTTCTAACTTTTATTGATCATTCTGCCATTCTTTTTTTTTTTTTTTTTTTTTTTTTTGGCTGGGGCTGATTTTGAACCTGCCACCTCCAGCATATGGGGCCAGTGCCTTACTCTTTTGAGCCACAGGCGCTGCCCTCCAGCAGCGATTCTTGGCTGGAGGATGGGCACACCTTGCAGGTGACTGTGATGTGTATATTTGGATAACCACAAGTACCTCTAGCCTGTCCCTGCTGTCCTGGGAGAAAGGCTCCATGATGTGCTCACTGGCCTACTCACCTGGGGCACAGTTATCCACCAGGGCTCCTAGAGCTTTGCCGTCCTGCCAGTCACGATTGAAGTTGGTGATGGGTAGCTGGGGCACCTTGTTCTGGATCCAGCCGAGCAGACGCTGCTTGGGCGTTTGTTTGCGGGCATCCTCATCGTCCTCATCCTCCCACATGGGCATGGAGATGGAGTAGTGTAGAATCAGCGTCCAGATGAGGCCCAGGATCAGCTTCAGGTTCCCATCTACGATGGCTTTGCTGTCTGCACAGTGGAAGGAACAGCTGGCTCAGGGGCTCCACCCTCTGCCGCCCAGACCCCTTTGCCACTGGGTGCCCTCCCTTACCTGCCCTGCTCCTGCTCCTGAGGCACCTGCTGGAGCCCGGAGCACTGGCCACTGACTCCTGCAGCCCATCCCTTCTCTGCCCACCACATTCTCTCCTTCCTGCAAGGTCAGGACGAGACCCCCAAGTCCTTTATGGATCCCTGCCTTTCAGGAGGCTGCTTTTCTTTTATGTTCTTGAGGCAGATACTATCACCTCCACTATGGCAGTTGAGTCTGCATCCCATCCACACAGTTATCCCATATTTGCCTGGCCCTCCTAGACCATAAGCATCTGGGGGGCAGACACTATTTTGTTTTGTTTTGTTAATAATTTTATTAAAGTATACTTGACATACTCCTAACTCCACATATCAGAGAGTACAGTTGGAGAAGCTTTGGCAATATGGATATCACCACAAATCAAGAAGGAGTAGGGCACCAGCCCCATATACCGGATGTGGTGGGTTCAAGCCCAGCTCCAGCCAAAAAAAAAACTGGAAAAATAATAAAATCATTCCTCACTCTCCAAAATATTCTTGTGCACACTACTTTGTAAGCCGTCCCTCCTGCCTGTTCCTGTCCCCTCTTCCCAGGCAACAACTGAGCTGCTATCATATGGATTAGTTTGTTTTTTTACCTAGAGTTTTATATAAATGGAATCACACATTACACTTTTTTAGGGGGGTCTGTCTTCTTTCACTCCAGATACTCGGTTTTATCTTTCTACATAGAGAGACTTGAACTTAATAGGATTTCAATAAACATTGGTTGAATGAATATGTTAGAAACTGACGTTAGAGAGGTGAAGGACCAATGGGGTTTCACCCATATCTATCCTGAATGCCACATAGGGTATTTGGAACCAAGGGTGGGGAGGTCTAGTATATGCTCCATTAAGCTTAAAGTCATGTTGCAAATGCTGGGGCTGATGACATTTCATAGGAGCCAGGGGACATATCAGCCATGTGGACTCAAGTCTCAGAAACTGAGATAAACTCTACCCATCACCTCCTCTGAGCAACACTTTGGACCAGAATCTCCCTGAGATTTTGGGGGTCTAGTTCCCTTTAACAATTAGAGGGAAATATCAGAAGCTCACAGTGACCTAGTGTGTAGCTAGATCTTGGAATCCAATTTATTTGTAAAGGGTAATGCAGGCCTGAGATTCATCAGCTTCCCTGAGCACTGCTTTGGGGAGGTTAAGAGGGGGCAGAAGAGTCTTGTTTACTGAGGTTGCCAAGAGATAGAGAGGGTGGGGCTGGAGCTTTTCCCTACATAGCTTTTCCTACCCCTACTTCCTCAGATCTTAGGGACCCCAGTCATCTCCCTCCCTCCTGCTCAGGGAGGGGAACCTCAACCTTCTGGTCCCTCTGGCTGAGGCTCTGGTTCCCTGTTACCCCCACCCTGTCACTGATTCATCCTTCCTTCCCCAGCAGCTCCCAGCCCACCCCTTTCCCCTGGCTCCACTGCAGCACAATGGTTTGGCAGCTTTTGGATTCCATGACACACTCACTCCCTGCCTCCCCTGTGCTTTCTCTCAAACACAGAGGCCCACAACACTTTCACACAGCGGATGCCTCAGTGCCTCAGGCTTCTCACAGCCCTACAGTCTCAGTGCTCACACACTCAGAAGTGCTTCTTGAAAACTAGAGCCAGACCCCTGGGAGGAGGCCTTCAGGCTGGGGGTTGTGGGGAGAGATTGGTCATTCATGTTTGCTGGAAAGAGCTGCTTCTCCCCAGCAACTGGCCCTGGGCCAAACAGCAAGTGGTCCAGGCTTAGGGCAAGAGGGGGGCAATGGGGCCCAGGTCCCACTCTGGGAGCAATGACCCTCTTCTCCCACTTCCCCCTCGGCCAGGCAGAAGAGGTTGGGCTCTTCAGCCTGCCAGGGGATACCCCCAAAGGGGTGGGAGGAGCTAGACAGCTAGTCCCTGAGGCCACCAAGGCCTCAAGAGCAGGGGAAGGAAAAGAGAGGCTGGGCCTAGGGAGGTGCTGGGACAGCTGCTGCCCCCTCCAGCCCCTCCCTTGGTGTTGGCTCTAGGAGAAGGAATAGCAACTGGGTAACAGCTGCGAGACAGAGCTGCCTCATAGGCCCCTTTGTTCAGAGGGGCCGAGGGGACAGTGGGGGCCTGGACAGGGTGGTGAGGGTAAGCAGGGCACACAGTTCCTCCTACCCAGGTGAAGACCCATACTTCAGGTGAACTTCTCCGCTCCCAGCTCCCACCCCAGACCATAACTTCCTTCTGCCCTAATTGCTGCCAGCTGAAAAAAAAGTGAGGAGTCTTTCTCCAATCCTCCAACCCAGGTGTCCGGATGCTCAGTCCCAGTCCTGAGACAATGCCCAGGGAGTGACCTCCTGGACAGCACTTTCCCATCACTAACTGTGGTGGGGGGAGCTAGAAGAGGCAGGACGCCCCCTCCTCTCCAGGCTCAGTGATGGACCTAGCAGCCGAATTGCTGCCAGCTTATCTCAACAGTGCTAGAGCCACTAGGCCAGAGAGGGGACCAGCTCCCCTACCTCTCAGCAGGAATCAGGGCTCATCCCTCCCCAAACCAGCTCTTCTTCCCCTCTGCTCTGAGAGGGCCCCTCCAGCTGAGCCAAGCGGCCCCTCTGTGGGGGAGGGGAGAGGTGTGCTTAGGAAGGATGAGGCCTGGAGAGGGGCTCGGCTGCAGGGGAGATGGAAATGGGCTCTCTCTGGACCCCACCTGGGACAGTCAGCCCTGCCTTCCAAATCCTAGTGTGTGTTGGAGGGGGAGAGACCTAACCCAGGCTGACTGCCTAAGTCCCCACCGCCACCTCCTCAGCAGCCCTCCACCTCACTACACACCAGGGCACCCTCCCCCACCCCCTGCCCTCAGGCTCGTCCTTCTGGAAAGCTCAGAGGCATCTGCTGTGTCATGGAGGCAGGGCTATTTCGAGGGCAGGCTGGTGGGGGGGCAGTGCCAGGGCAGGAGGGGTAAGTCCTAGGGAGGGAACTGGACAGGGCAAAGGGCCCCGACTGACCTCAGCTGCTAATTCAGGAGGCCTAGAGATGGCCCTGAGGGAGAGTGGGGCCAGACAGACATCCTATTATCTGGAGAGGTCTCTGGGACACCCTGTGTGGGGCCTACCTGGCCCCATGTAAAACTCCCCTCCTGAGGTCCTAGGATGCACCAGCCAAAGGGCCCCTTCCTGTAAATCTCAGCAGGGCTCTTAAGAGAGAGGACTGCAGGTCTATAGGAGAGGGGCAGCCCAGGGCCACTCAGAGCCCACCTTCTGCTTCCCTGCTCCCAGGCCCAGAGCACCTCCCCACCCCCACCCAGCACTATACACCTTCCAAATCTGGTTACACTCAATGACTTCCTCCCTTGCAGAGGCCTTTCCCTCCCTCCTCACCCCAGAACTGTTAGCTACAACCAATCCCAGGCTCAGGGGTAGGCTGGGGCAGGGCCTGGACATGCAGGAGCCCCCTCCTTACAGGCTGAAGTGGGAGGACAGGCAGGGGTTAAAGTTCCCAGCACTAGTTGAGTGCCTTTTTAGGTTTCTGAGGCTGGGCCCCGCCTGTCCTGGCCAGGCCTGGACCCAGCTGCTGAGCACATGCCGGCAGAGCTGCCGGCCACCAGGTCTCCTTCTGCCTCCAGCCTCTGAGCTGGTGGATCCTGGGTGGATCCCAGGTGGTTGGGACCTGGGTTCAGCCAGCCCCTGGCCTGGGGAGGCATTTGCTTTGTTGTGAGGAGAGGTCCCCAGGAATCCCTCACTGACACTGGCCCTGTCCCCTCAAGCATGGCTTGAGGTTGCCCGATGGAAGGAAAGGGGCAGAGAGAGGAGATGGGTGGGTGAGAGTGTGCGCAGAGAGGCTGTGGTGGGAGGGCTTGGACAACGTCAGGTCTGGATTCCCTGGGTCCCCAGGAGGTGCTCATTGTCCCGAGAGGTCAGTGAGACAGCACCCCTGTGGCCTAGGTCAGCGGGTGGGACAGACAGGCCAGGGCTCTGCTCCGGGTGCCCACCCCCTACCCCCACCCCCACCCCGCACCTGTGTCCCCTGCCCCGGGTGACACCCTTCCCGCGCGCTCGCACTGACCGATGGACACGAGCTTGATGTGCTCGCGCTCCAGGAACTCGAGGGCCACGGACACGTTCTCCAGCTTCATCTGGCGGAAGTTGGGGCGCGGGTGGAACTTGCGGTACATGCGCTTCTGGCTGAGCACCTCCAGGAGCGCAATGAGGCGCAGCCCGTCGCTGAGGTCGCGCTGTAGGTCGGTCAAGCGCTTGCCCACGCACTTGAGGTGCTCGTTGCACCAGCGCGTGAATGTGTTCTGCTGGATCTTCTTCCACGGCGCGTCCTCCGCTAGGTCCTTCTCTGTGGACGGCATCTCGTCCGCCTCGTCTGCCAGGCCGAAGCCGGCGGGGTCCGAGTAGCCGCTGTTGTTCATCATGCTGGCGGGCCGGGGTTGGGGCTGAGCGGCAGGGCGGCTCGGGCTGGGCGCTGTCGGGCGCTGTCGGGGCGCGACCGCGGGACTCGCAGCGCTGCGCTGAGCTCCTGTCCAACTTCTCTAGCGCCCTGGCTGGCGGGGATCGGCAGGGTTCGGCGGGCCTCCTCAGTTCCTCTGCCGCGGTCTCGCTCTCTCTCCCTCCGGGGGCGGAGCAGTGCTCGGGAAGTGCGGGCCGGGCTAGGGTGGGGGGTTTAAGAAGCCCCCGGGCCGCCGCCCCCCCGCCGCCCCCGCGGCCCCCGGGTCCACGTCAGAGCGCCGGCCTCCCAGGAATGCCGCCCGGGCCACGGGTGGGGGCCGCGCGGAGCCACACGGCCCCGCCTCCCGCCGCCCCTCCTCCACACGACCGGGGCTAGGAGAGGGGGGTGGGAGTCCTGTGCTGGGCGCGGGAAGGTGGGGGGTGAAGATGACACTTTCCCACCTACACCCACCACCCCAAAGCTAAGCATTATCAGGCAGGGACGAAATGTACTCTCCCTCTACTCCCCTCCCCCAAAGAGACGAGAGGTAAATGGGGAAACTGAGGCCAGTGGTTGGGGCTAGACCTACTGATCTGGTGTTGACAACATTTTCTGGACGAGTTGGTGGCAGGGCTGTTGACAGGGCCTTCAAGTCCTGGCTCCTACCCCAGGGTATTGTCCACCTGTGGACAGGGAAGGGAAGTGTGTGCACTTGTGTAGAGATGGTCAGAGAGGAAGCAGGGACATTGCCCCGGTCAATTAGGGAGAAGATTTTGGGGGAGACCTCCCTCATTGCTCAGTTTTATAGGTTGAAAAGCTTAATTTGGAGATCAAACCCAGGGTCCTATGGGAAAGACTGAGGCTGCTGCCCCTGACTCAGTGTCCCTGTCACCAGCCCATTTGGCCTCATTGCCTCAGAATGAAGCTGAGTTCAGGAAAAGGGTACCCAGTGACTCACACTGTGTGCCCCCCAAGTCTGACTCAACCAAGGTGATGAGAGGGGAGGAAGGAACTCTGGCCCTATAATGCCAGGGAGCCTCCTTGGGCAAAGTGCCCATTTGGCGCCCCTGGGCAGATCCTCCAAGGGAAAGGATAGTTTAGCCAGACAGAACCAAGGAGCATCTAGGCCAGAGCAACCAGGGGGAAACGTGACTGGGGCACCTAGGTGGGCAGGGCCAGAGCAGAGTGGTCAGGGAATACTCCAGGGAGCCAGCCAGGATGCCTAGGCAAGACTGGACTCTGGGTCAGGGGAGCCCTTGGGGCCTGGGGATGGAGACAACAGGGAAACTGAGGCATCCAAACAGAAAAGGAGGCCCAAGATGAGGCAAAAGATCTACAGGATATATTTATATTAATACAAGGAGAAGATGTGTTCCGCAATTCTGTGGCATATGTGTATTGCTATCTCCCTTCCACCACTTCAGGCCATGCTTCCTCATCTTTCTCATCCTTCTAGGCCCAGTAAGTTTAGAGCTGGGTAGGGGGCCCTTATGTGAGCCTGAAACATTTCTGCAAGCCAGTCCCCCACTCAAGCCATGTGATGAGTGAGATTTGAGAAGGTTCTCACCTTTTAGGTGAATCGCTGTGTAATAATCTTATTCCTCCTCTCCCCCCAGGCCTGGTGGAAAGGAGAGGAAAGCAAGCATTTTTGGGAGGATCCCTCCCAAGGTGTTGAGTGAGGGCAATTCCCATTATGGAGCTAAGAAAGAAGTTTATGGTTTTTTGGGAGAGACAGTGCTTATGGTGACAGGGGTCCATGAATAATTTCTTTCCCTTCTCATTTAATGAGATTGCCTGGTCCTTAGGTAAGGAGGAGAAGGAGTAGAGAAGACACCAGAAACAGAAAAGGGAGCTGCTGTGTGTGGCTGGGAGTAGGGGGGGAGTTCTGGGAGCCCTGATAGTGACAGGCGAGGTATAAATAGCTTGGGCCCAGCGGCTCATGTTCTGTCTGCTCCCTGTGACGAGGTGCTCAGGAATTCCACTCTCCTGTTGGCAACCCCCTCTCCTTGTCACTAGAACTCTCATTCCCCCCAAGCCACCTCCATCCCATGGCCAAAACTACCATCAGGCCCTAGTGTTGTCTGTGTATTTGAGAGGCTGAGTGCTCCTGTGGAGAGATGCCCAGTTCCTGGGACACATAGCTGGGTCTCACAAGGAGCTGTGTGTGTGTGTGTGTGTGAGAGAGAGAGAGAGAGAGAGAGAAAGAGAGAGAGCAGACTTCTGGCTGCCAACCTGAGGTGCTAGGAACTCAGGGTTCAGCAGTGTTGCCTCTGAATCCCTGATGAAGAACCTGAGGTACAGATCTGAGAAGGGATGGATTTCTCTTTGAGTTGCTGGTGGTCAGGGAGAGAAAGGGATAGCCTTTCTGACAACCCCTGTGCAAACATCAGTGGCTCACAGTCCTGTTTTGTGAGGTTTATCTGAGCTGTACTGAGGGCCTCTGTTAAGATGGGAGGATTCACAGGGATGCCAGTAAGTGGAGTAAGAACCTGAGTATGGTCTCCTTTGTTCTCCCTCTGATTAATTACCTTGCTGCGGGAGAGGAGAGGCCAATGTGCTGCCCCAGGGGAGTGAGTGAATGGTTGGTAGAGGAGAGTGCCAATGATGGTTCCCGTCACCCCCCTCCTCCCCCCCACTGCCCCCAGAAACCTGAGCCTATTGCTCTCCAGGATAAATCGGGGCCTGACTCAGGTCCCAGCAGCCAGTCACAGTCAGCCTGACCCAGGCACAGGCTGGTGACTCAGCCCTCAATATAGTCCATGAGCCCAGGTCCCAGGCCCGGCCAGGGAGGCTGGAACAGACCGTGCGCAATGCTGGTCCTGGGGCCTGCCAAGTACGGCCCCCTCCCTGAGGAGGGCCTACGTGTTCTTCCCCAAGCCAGGTAGGGACAGATAGAGGGGCTTACAGGGGTTTTCATCAGCTAAGTATTTGGGGCAGTGCTGGCTAGGGCTGCAGGCCATTTATAGCCCCCTGACTCACTACCTGCTGACCGCTCTCAGGAGACCAGGTTGCCTTCCTTGTTCTTCACCTGGCCCTGCTTCTGCCACCAGGGCACTGCTCATCAGCCACCAACACTGGCCACATTTAACTTGTGCTGGGCCAAATGCAAGTGATAGGTCCAATGTTTGAAAATTCAGTTTTTCTGGAACTAGAGACATGTTTCTACAGTCAACCATGGTACTAGGCTGGCCAGGCTGGCCAGGCTCACAGAAGGCAGTTTGACCAATCAGTGACACTGTGGCTCTGACCCAGGTGCCAGGGACCTTGTGTTAGAGTGGGGGGATCCATGGGATAAAATCCAGCCACTGCACTTCTGGCTCTATAACTTTGGGCAAGTAATGTAACTCTTTTGGCCTCAGTTTTCCTTATCTGTAAAATGGAATTAATAACAACATCATAGGGATTGTTTTTAAATGTGTGAAGATGAAAAGAAGTAAGATGAAAGATAATTAGCATGGTGCCAGCTTGGCTCCTGTGGCTCAAGCAGCTAAGGCGCCAGCCACATACACCTAAGGTGGCGGGTTCGAATCCACCCTGGACCTGCCAAACAACAATAATGGCTGCAACCAAAAAATAGCCAGGCGTTGTGGCGGGCGCCTGTGGTCCCAGCTACTTGGGAGGCTGAGGGAGGAGACTCACTTGAGCCCAGGACTTGGAGGTTGCTGTGAGCAGTGAAGCCATGGCACTCTACCCAGGGGCTCAGCTTGAGGCTCTGTCTCAAAAAAAAAAAAAAAAATTAGCATGGTGCCTAGCCCCTAATAGGTGATCCAAAAAAGTCAGTTTGCTTCCTCTGCTGGTATAGGTCCTGGTGAGTGAGGCTCTTCCCCAAAGCTCTGTGTCCACACCCCTATAAAGGTCACTGCCTGGGGCTCCACTCTTCTCCCTTCTCCCCTTCCCTATGTCCTAACTGTCAGATCAGAACCTCCACCTGTCAGATCAGAACCAGCAGTACCTATGATCTTTGGAACCAACCACCCTTCCCACCATAGCAACTGGTCCTTGATAGAAGTGGCAGGTGATCACTGCCCTACTGTATGGCCTGGGAAGGGAAAGCAGAGTCACTGGCCAGCAAGGAGAGAACACTAAAGCAGTTTGCAGAGGGGATTAGCAGGGAGAGATGGAGGCTCCTGAAGTTGTTTTGAGTCCTTTGGTTCCAGCTGTACCAAGATCTGGGTGCATGCCTGCCTGTGGTTTCCAAGAGACACCCCTCCAAATTTAAAATCATCCCCTCCAGCCAGGCACAAGTGGTTCATGCCTATAATCCTAGCACTCTAGGAGGCCAAGGCATGTGGATTGCCTGAACTTAAGAGTTTGAGACCAGGTTTGAGTAAGAGACTTCATCTCTAAAATAAAGCTAGGTGTTGTGGCAGGCACCTATAGTCCCAGCTACTTTGGAGGCTAAGGAAAGAGAATCACTTGAGCTCAAGAGTTTGAGATTGCTGTGAGCTATGATGTCATGCACTCTATTGAGGGTGACAAAATGAGACTCTGCCTCAAAAAAAAAAAAAAATATATATATATATATAAAGTCACCCCCTCCTGGCTTTTTTAACTATAGCTAGCTGAAGTCAATCTTTAACATTCAACAAAAGAAGCCTCTTCAGTATACTTTGGTAACAGTGTACCACCATGACAGAGTACAAACCAAGTTAAGATGATGAGGTTCTAACATGTACAGAGAAGAGCCAGGTATATTAATGGGAAGAGCTCTGTGTTCTAAGCAAAAAGGCTGGGAAAA